TTATACATATATGTGTATATGTATCTTGTATGTTTTTACATACATACATATCTTGTATGTTTATGCATATATTCATGTATGTTTATACATTCAAAATACATACATGTATACACCTTATATTATATATTTATTTATATAATTATATATATATATATATATATGTCCATTATAAAAGTGTCTTGTATGTGTGTTTGTATATGCGTGTGTATGTTTTAAATACATGCTTTACATATACAAATATAAGGCGAATAAAGACAGTTGTAATAAAAAAATACATGTATAACCATCCATAAAAAAAAACAAGCCAGTAACATGCAACACAACATGTAACACAATCAATATATATATACACGCGTTGTACATTCTATACATACAGATATAAATGTCGTGTAGTTTGCTACGACGACGATGATGATGATGATGACGAAAATGAGGATGATGATGCTGCTGATAATGATGATGATGACGATGCTGCTGCTGCTGATGATGATAATGATGATGATGATGATGATGATGATGAGGACGCAGATGATGATGCTGCTGCTGATGATGATGATGAAAACGATGATAATGATGACGTCACGTCAATTATATCACGTGACTGTGGATGGATTATTTTTTTTTGTTTCGGTGCATCATCATTATAGAATTAGGAGATTTTACATTAAAATACACCCACTTTTATTCACACAAACACACACACAGGCACATACAAACACACACATACGTGTTTATTTTAATCAATTTATTTTAATTTAAAAGCACCTAAAAAATACTTTAATTTTATTTCATTATCATACGATAGATAATAAATTATTAACAATGATGTCAAAGATCTTATGCACATGTATGTGTTTGTTTTCAACAGGAAAAATCGTACATGTGTGTGTGTGTGTGTGTTGTATGTGTGTATGTGTGTTTTGGTGTTTGTGTGGTGAAGTATGCAATTACGAAATGTTCATCATTTATACATGATACAAACAACCATTTCCTAGTAATTTAATAGGTATATATACTAATATACCTACCTTCCTATATACATTCACATACACACACACTCACACACATACACATACACGCATACATACATACATACATACATACATACGTACGTACGTACATACATACTTGGTTTGGTAACTAGGTAATAAATAAGCTTACACCTGCTTTTCCTCATTCCATCTCCTACGATAAATATTTATGCGCGAGGCATGTTTGTCAGAGGTGGGCAAACTTTTTGCCGTGAGAAACCTTTTGTTTTTTGTTTTTAACTTTTTGATCCATCTATCCATCCATCCAACAATAATTTCAATGTTGAATGAATGCATTCCAACTGGTTTCAACTTTTTTTTTTAACAAAATTTTTTTTGAGTTTAATAGAATGATAATTTCACAAAACAATGACAAAAAAATTATTAAAATAGGGTTGACACTTTGTTGCGAAATCGTTGGCGGAAATGACGTCATTTTTAAAGTAAAATATATTGATGGTAAATTAGCCGGTATAAACGTTAAATCCGATACCAATAAAACAAATTATACTACACAAAACTAAATAAATAAATAGATAGATAGATATGTGTAGTCATTAAATATATTTATATTTTTATAATTATACATTTAATTTATACAATTAAAGTGAAGTGTGTGGCGTCAAATTATTTTGAATTCTCTAGGAATAATTTGAACTGTGCGCGCACATACATATGTAACACTGACTATACTGTTGGTTTTATAAGGAAGTTATATATTATATAAAGTATTTACAGCTTATGTATACAGATAATTACTAAGATTATATGTTTAGACAGAAAGAAATACAGCAGTTCCAACCAGTCAATCAAAATGTTTCGAAGTTTGAGTAGCTCTGTTGTGATGAATGTATATTAGTGTTTAACACAATCAAAAATCAATAGCATTAAATCAATATGCTTTTTACTGATGTGAATGATTGAATAGATTTTAAGTTTAATATATAAAAGAAATAAAAGAAATACATATTTTCATTTTTCAATTGTTAAGTGAGAAAGGAGTGATCTCGATTAAATTTGAATCCACCTAGATAAACGTATATACACATTTCCGAGCCATCCCATCAGGAAGTCCGTAGGCGTCAGTTGAATTCATTTTAGTATAGTTAATATATTGTTGTTAAACATTTATAATTATGTTTCATATACATTAAATAAAGTTTTTTAATGATGTCATTGATTGAAATGATAAGAATATATGAATGGAACTGGTATAAATAGAAGCCGAGAACACGTTGAAATCAGACCGGGCGGTTTAGGGCATTCCCTTAGCGTCTGGTCTCATTTTTTTATTTTATATTTTTTTATTTATCATTTCTAGACGTATTCGTTATTTATTTCGTTACATATTATTTCTAGATTCGTTTATTTTATTGCGCGTTTATATTACTTATTATTTCTAGGCCTTTTTCGTTTATTTTACTGATATTATTAGTAACACACACACACACACACACACACACACACACACACACACACACACACACATACATACATACACACATACATTCGTTGTTTTGTTTGTTTGATGTTTTATTCTCTTTTCCTTAGTTTTTTCTTCGTAATTATACAAATAGGTAGGATTAATTCGTAAGTTGAGCTAATTGAACATAGGTAGGTGAGTTAATTTAGCGAATATAGGTAAGTTAGGGTCTCTATTCTTTCATTCTTACTTTTTTGCTTGTTTGTATTGTTTAGTTTTTGTTTTTTGTTCAACACAACACCAACAATAGCAATCAAACACGACAATCAACACAATATTATTTTCTCGTTATTTATATTGTTACATATTATTTCTAGATTCGTTTATTTTATTGCGCGTTTATATTACTTATTATTTCTAGGTCTTTTCGTTTATTTTACTGATATTGTTAGTAACACACACACATACACATACATACATACACACATACATTCGTTGTTTTGTTTGTTTGATATTTTTTCCTCTTTTCCTTATTTTTTTCTTCGTAATCGTACAAATAGGTAAGATTAATTTGTAAGTTGAGCTAATTGAACATAGGTAGGTGAGTTAATTTAGCGAACATAGGTAAGTTAGGGTCTCTATTCTTTCCTTCTTACTTTCTTGCTTGTTTGTATTGTTTAGTTTTTGTTTTTTGTTCAACACAACACCAAGAACAGCAATCAAACACGACAATCAACACAATATTATTTTCTCGTTGTTTATATTGTTACATATTATTTTTAGATTCGTTTATTTTATTGCGCGGTATATTACTTATTATTTCTAGGCCTTTTCGTTTATTTTACTGATATTATTAGTAACACACACACACACACACATACACACATACATTCGTTGTTTTGTTTGTTTAATGTTTTATTCTCTTTTTCTTACCTTTTTCTTCGTAATCGTACAAATAGGTAGGATTAATTCGTAAGTTGAGCTAGTTGAACATAGGTAGGTGAGTTAATTTAACGAACATAGGTAAGTTACGGTCTCTATTCTTTCATTCTTACGTTCTAGTTTATTTGTATTGTTTTGTTTTTTTTGTTCAACACAACACTAACAACAGCAATCAAACACGACAATCAAACCAATATTAACACAAATTTATTTTTATTGTATTTTAGTTAAGTTACTTATTATTTCTAGACACTGTCGTTTTATTATTAACCCCCTCATGAACGGCTGCCTTGACGTGGCGAGGGGGCTTCTCACTAAATGCCGTTCAAATAAGTGCCTCTACTTCTTCACTTGTTTGTTTTCTTAAAAACGCAATTCTCTATTTATTTCTTGGTTGCATTTTTTAGCGCAAATACTAAAACATCTGTACATACGCACATGTATGTATAACATACACAAACATACAAACAACGGTACAACACATCTCACAAATACACAAATACATACATAAATGCATACATACATACATGCATCCAACTGAATGCCGACATGTGCAACTAACGACAAATCAAAGTGTTAATCCATTTGTTACTTGATGTTTGACGGTTCAGTGTCACTCATCATGTTTTGGTTTTAACATGCATACATACACACACATACACATATACCCACACACATACCCACATACATACACACATACGCACATACATACATACACACATGCACACATACACACGTACATACATACATACATACTTGGTTCGGTTACCAGGTAATAAATAAGCTTACACCTGCTTTTCCTCATTCCGTCTCCTAACTAAACGTACGTAATTATGTCCGCCCATTTCTTTTTTTTGTATGTGTGTGTGTGTGTGTGTGTGTGTGTGAAAGAGAGAGAAAGAGAGAGAGAGAGAGAGAGAGAGAGAGAGAGAGGAGAGAGAGAGAGAGTTATATAGTTTTATAGTTATATGGAGAACTCTCTTCGCGGTTCTTTTCTACGCCGACCGGTCGGTGGTTCGTTTCTTTGCCAGCCGAGTGTAAATTTTTTTTTTAATGGGCGTCTTTGAATGTCGACTTTTTCCACTTAAGAAAAAATACTAAAACAGGAAGTTATTAATAACCCAAGAATGTTTGCATTTTAGTTTAGGTTTGTTTGTTCGTTCGCTCGTTTGTTCGTTCGCTTGTTCGATTATACCTAATCATTGGTCGTCAGAAACCCAACTAGCAGACTACTTTATAATCCATACTACTAATTAATTAATTAATTATTTATCTTATAACATCGATATTATTATTTATTTATTATTTGTTAATTAGTAAATATAAATTCTCTAAACGTCGAAATCCGAGCCAAAAATTTACAGATCAATCAAATAGGTGAATAAACTTTGGCTGTTTGCCAATAAATTCGAAAGATGAATTGAATAATAATATGTCATTCCAAGATGCAATGAATGAATGAATGAATGAATGAACGAATGAATGAATGAACGAATATGAATGAACGAATGAATGAATGAATAAATGAACGAATGAATGAAATTAAATAAAATAACACTCCATCCAAAACGTTTTCAATTTTCCTTTTCAAAAACAATGCTTCAACAAACGTATTCTATTCTAGCGGCTATTCTGATGAAAAAAATGCTAAACAGTAGTGCATATGTGTGTGTGTATGTGTTTGTGTGTGCGCGTGAGAGTATGTGTATGTGATTACGTCATTATGACACCATATACAACATTACATTGCATATCCTGTGCCATTCAAAGCGTCAATGGCATTAACTCGTAGCAATTTTTTTTTCTACCACGAAATGAAAAATTCACGATAAGAGAGAAAAGCATTAAAATTATAATAAGTTGGAAAACAAACAAACATCCACTCTAAATAATAATAATAACAAACAAACATCAATAATAATAATAATAATAACAATTACATGTACGCTTATTATTATTATTAATTTTAATTTTATCACCGCCAACGCAGCCCCTGGATAGTAGTAGTAGTAGTATGGTAGTAGTAGTAGTATGGTAGTAGTAGTAGTATGGTAGTAGTAGTAGTATGGTAGTAGTAGTAGTATGGTAGTAGTAGTTGTAATGCTGTTCTGGAGGTTATCCAGTTTATCCAGAGAGCATGCTGACAGGCGTGCAAGGACAGCAGATTGATTGATTGATTGATTGATTGATTGATTGATTGTTCATCCAACAATCCATGCCTGCTTTGAATTTGTTCATTGATTGTGCCTCAACAAGTTCATCTGGTAATGAGTTCCAAGTATTTGCGACTTTATTGAATAAGTGATTCTCTCTGTTTCTATGTCTTGTTAACTCTATGAACTTATTGACGTCATAGCCAAAATTAGTAACCTTATAACAACAACAATGAAAAAATAATAGAACTGTTTGCATTTTTAATTTAGGATCACAAAAATAATAATAACAACAACAGCAGTAATAATGATAATAAATATAATTATTATTGCAAAAATAAAAAAAGAACTTCAAACTAGAACAATAACAACAGTGTTCAGACAAGTGCCATTGAGCTATAGAGCATAGTTGAAAATAAAATTTAGATCAAAAAATTTTCTAGTACTGAGTTCACCGATTAAATAGTGTCGTTGCGTCATCATACACATACACACACACCCACACACACACACAAACAAACACGCATACATACATACATACATTGGCACACACGTATATTTAAACATACATACACGCATATGTATCTGTTTATACAATAATATGTAAATAAGTTTATACATTTTTAAGTGCGTGTTGTGTGTGTGTGTGTGTGTGTGTGTAAGTGTGTGATAACAAACAATAAGCAAATTAATCATATTATTAATCATAAGACAAGCAGAAAATAAAAAGTTTTTGAAATGATCTGAAATGAACAATGAACTGATATAATAAAAATGAAGTAATTCGTGTCGTAAATACTTAAAAATATGCAGTTATGTACGTGTGCATGTATGTGTGCATGTGTGTGTGAGAGTGAGTGTGTGAGTACCTGTGTGTGTGCGTCACGATTATCTACATAATAATGGAAGATTACTATAGTTCAATTCCCAAACAATGTATGAAAAATATATATGGAAATAAAATAAATATGTCCTGCCAATGATATCAATGTCTTCTTGGCATGCAATCAATGAACAACTGTATATATGCATATGTACAATGTATGATTCATGATACATGTATCATATATGTATCAAATATATCTTATATGTGTCACTTTATTTACGTGATATAACTCCTCTCTATCATTATTTATAATCATTTAATCATCTAATCCTTTAAAAAGAACGACATAGTTAATTCGCACAGATCATACTACACACAAAGTACACGGTTCGCAAGTTCAAAGTTCAAATTTCGAGAACTCCACACATGGACTGTATGTGTCGTTGCATGGAAGCGTTGTCCAGCCTCTCCCGGCAGTAAGGGCACGCGGTCATCGTCGCGGCTGGCGTGGCGCTAGACGTCGTCGCGTTGCTACGAAAATTGTGGTTGCCGCGGTGACGATGATCATTGTTGTTGTGGCGATGATGGTGGTGGTGGTTGTCCAATGGTAATGATGGTGACGGTGGTGGGGAGGCGGAGGATGACGAGAAGAAGGAGGGATGTGATTGGATGGGTGATGATGATGAAGGAGACAGCGGCGTCGAAGCTTGGCTGTGATTGGCCGGCGTGTTAAGATGGGGTGAATAGTGTTACTATAAAACTTTATGAAGAAATAAAATGACCTGAAATATATCTTACATACAGTAAAATAGAATTTATAAAAATCTGAAAACTCTTCACAACGCATCCAACTTGATCTAACATTAACATTTTTATAACATTTATTAGCTATAAATTAAAAATAAAACAACAATTAATCAATAATTAATTAAGTAAAAATATAATAAGAGCAACAACCTATTGATGTCATAATCTTTGTACGGCAGATGGTTGTTGTCATTATCTATAGACATACCAATGTTGAATGGGTCCATCGTTTGCTTCAGGTGGCATATCATGTTCAGCCCCACCTCTTTTTAGTAAGTAAGACAGTTTTTTTGAGAGGATGTGTGATTTAAATCTTTGCATTAAAAGTTTGATTTTACAAATTTTAATGGGTTAAATGCAAAGCATAAAATTCGATATTTTTTGTGCAGTATGCCACCAAAAATATATAGGCATAAAACGAAATGGAATTTTAAATGAATATTTTCAAATAGGATGAATACTTTGAAACAAAAAATTCGCTTTATAAACTAAGAAATAAAAATTTAAAAAAAAAAAATTTCATGTTAAATACCCCTAAAGGCATTAGGCCAGCCAATAGCATTTGAAAGATTGAATCTGGTTTTGTAAGGAAGTTTCTTTCCATCGACTGGAATGTTTCCAGCATTTTCTTGGTTACCATGTGCGTCTGTTCTCATCTTTGAAAGTGACTTTGCGTGCTTCTCGAATCGAGTTTGAGTAGCTTTGTTTTTCGAAATTTTGACAGGCAATTTATCATCCGTTTGGGTGATTTTGTCAAATTTTTTATCAAAGTCGACGTCGATGCTGCAGAAATCAGTTTCTTTGCTGGAGTCTGAAAGTATGATGAAACTCTGACTGGCACTCCTCGATACGGTTTGTGATTTTACTGACACCTCAGCTTTCATGTCCTCATCGTTGTTGCTGTTGATGTTAATGTAATCATTATAGATGGTGATATCATTATTGTCATCCATGTTATTGTTATCAGATATGTTGTTGTTGTTATTATTGATGTTTGTGGAAGCAGAAGCATTGATGTTAACTACATTGACAGAATTGTCGGTTGGATCGCTCGCACTCATTGGAACATCTTCCTTCCTGACCTCACGCAAATCTTTACTACATGCACTGCACCTCTGGCTCAAGTTCTTCAAATTAGTCAACTCCTCTTCTAGAAAGGATATCTTGGCCAACAGCTGGTACTTCTCAAAATTAAGCAGGGATATTTCTGCCTGTTAGAAAATTAGTGATAGAAACAAAAACATAGAAAGTTAATTACTTTATTTATGTATTAATTAATTAATCATCTTAACATTAAAAACAATCGTTGGTTTACATTTTTTAGGCTAAGAAGTGAAGGATCAGTAGCAGTAGCAGCTGCTGAAGTGTTGTCAGAACTTGAAGCAGCAAGCATGGTGGACCTCTTGAAGACAACCATGTTCTCATCTTCGTCATCTTCCTCCTCATCAATGGCCACAAAATCATCGTCACTGAACTGCTGTTTCGATGAAGAATTACTGGCCGATGACAAGGCCATTTTGCTTCAGCAATGGCAACTAACCAAAATAGCTAATTAACTTATAAATATTATTCAACTAATTTACTAATCGACTAGTAAAAATCCTAATATCAACTTCAACTATCAGCTGTTTCAAAGTTTTGCTTTGTTTGTTTGACAGCAAAGCTTCTTTTTAATTTTAATGGATGGCAATAAATTTTAAATAAATAATGAATTAGAAAAATGTTTATTATTATTTGAAAATAATAACATGAATTTCAACGACAAAAACTTAAATTTAAATAAAATAAAATAGAGATTTTGTCGTTAGGGTTATTTATGTTACGCAAATGCAGAGAACTTTTTTACGTCTTTTAAACAAAAACTGTAAGAAGTTTGATGTTCTACATTCGTTTCTTATCAATTAAAAAATAAATGATTTATTTAGTTTTGTTTTATATTTAAAACTAAATAATGTATTTTAAAAATTAAAAACAATATTAAAAATAACAAAAATGTTTTTGTTTTAAAATATATATTGCACAAACGTGTTCACTAGTTGAACCAAAACAGTTTGTTTACTTTTTCCATAAAAAACAAATTTTAAGTGACATAAATCTAATTTAAATGTTCATTGACAACCACATACGCTATATATATATGTAGAATAAAAAAATGAAATTAACTCAAATATGGGAGACTGAAGTCTTCAAAGACAAAAATGTCGAATGGTTAACTAATTTATTTTCTGTACAAAATCATTTTATAATAAACGACGTCGATTAATGACTAATTTCATCATTTATTTAGTTTGTTTTCATAATTACCATAGCAACCGACCAAAACATTACATACTTTTCAATATTGTTCACATTTTATTTTAATTTTAGTTCCTCAATTTTCTATTGCAACATAAATTAATTTAATTTCAATGCCAGTTTAATTGTACTATTCGTGAAATTTTTCGCCTAGCAGTTTGTGGGATCTGTGCTTCAGTCCCGACGGATCGAAGTTGGTGACAGTTGGGGGAAACAGAGTTTACGTGTTCGACACATCTGCCGGAACACTAATTCAATCCCTGAAAGGACACACGAACAACGTCGTCTGCACAACATTTTCCAAAGACGGCCAACTATTTGCGTCTGGCTCAATAGATAAGAGTGTGATAATATGGAATGCTAAATTTGAAGGAATTCTTAAATACACGTATGCACGCACGTATTTATTTAGTTTTTCTACTATCATAAATAAACATAAAAATGTTGAAAATGGAGTTGTTTTTTTTTTTGAAAATTTTAGGCATGATGATCCAATTGTTTGTTTGGCATTCAATCCCACGAAATCTCTCTTAATTTCAGGATCATGCAATGATATTGGTTATTACGAACGTTAATTTTATTTCAACAATCTTATCAACACAATCATATTAATACAACTGCATATGCCTGAGTGAACTTACACTCAAGCTCTTAACGAAAAAATCAATCAAATTAATCATTACATTTTGAAATCATTCACTCAAATTTCAATAAGTAAGTGAGTGTAAGTGAGTACATGTTTTGAATTATTGATATCACATGTGTACTTGCTTCGAATGCTTTGATTATGTTTACACATGTGTATGCACGTACATTGTGTCATAGGAATACACAGTTTTTGTGACATGAAAGTTTAATTTGAAACAAGTAAAATACGATCTTTAAAGAGCTCTTTACGTTTGTAAAATCTGTCTAATAAAGATAATATTTTGTTTTAAATTGATTTGAAAATTCACTAGTATTACAACCGTTAACAAGACACGAACCGCCGAAAACTTGACTGCAGGTTTCTGGAGCTGTGATGAGAACAAAGTGAACAAATGTGACCAGCCAGGAAGAGTTACGTGCTGCTCGTGGACCAACGATGGTCAGTTCGTTGCTATTGGCTGTTACAATGGGGTCATCAGTATCAGAAATAAGGTCAATGACCTAGTTACATTCTTTTCTTTCACAATTTTTTCTAGTGTGTTTCAATCAAAAGTATCAACAACAAACTCACAGTGCTTGTAAATAATAAGTAAATCAGCGTACAACACACAGGGGACCTCTTCGCAATCGAACTCAGTAACTGGAAAAACAGTGCCAGACATTTCAACCATACGCATCATGCATTCGTTTTTAATTCACTCATTCACTCGTTCGTTCGTTTGTCGTTCATTAGTTTGTTCATTTATTCGTTCGTTTTCTCATCACTTCGCTCAAATTCGTTTCCATGTTTAATTTGTTTACTGATTATTACTTCAAACTGAATTTTATTCAACTTCGTAAATTATGAAAAAAAAGTGAACAAAGAATACATTTATTTTGAATTATCTTACGAATCATTTCTCAACTGGAAGATGGGTGAGGAGAAGGTTGTGATCAACAGAGGGCAGGCATGTCCTATCTGGAGTATCGCCTGGAGCCCTGAAACGTTCGTTCATTTGTCTGTTTGCTCGTTCGTTCGTTCGTTTGTTTGTTTGTTCGTTCGTTTGTTTGTTTGTTCGTCCGTTTGTTAATGGTTACTCTTTTATATATTTATTATTCATTCATACGTATGTTCGTTCATTCGTTGATATGTTCATTCGTCCTTTCATTCGCTCAATCATTCGTCTAATCATTGTAGCGAAAACACAGATGTCCTAGCGGTTGCAGACTGGTCGCAAAAACTTTCTTTCTATCAACTTTCTGGAAAATTGGTTTTTTTTATTTTTCTTTTAAAATTTTTCGTTTTTATCAACGATAATATCAAAACTATGCAACGTACCTATAATAAAAATATGTTAATGAACAAGAAATTGATGACACGCAAACAACAGCTGTATAAAGAAAGAGACCTGGGCTTTGACGCCTGTTTCATAAGTTGGTACGGAGCCAGAGGAGAGTTCATCTTGATAGGGGGGTCCAACAGAAAAGTGAACTTATACTCAAAGGAGGGACATTTCCTGACGATGATCGTTGAAAAACAATCTTGGATCTGGTCGGCTAAAAAGTCGCCTAATTCCGAGTTCCTGGTATGATAGTTGCTAGAGTGTAAATAGTTAAATCCATCATTTAAAATATTCCGCCATTTTATTCCATTTATTTTTAAATTGAGTTAATGTAGAATGAATAAAATAATTCGGAAAATGAAACCAACAGGCACTGTGCGGCCAAGATGGCTGCCTATCTCTACAGAACCTACAAATAGCACAGGTGCACAATTATTACAGAGATAGATACACGTACAGGGATAACTTAACTGACGTCATTGTCCATCATCTGCTCACTGATAAGAAGAGTTAGTTGGCTGTTTGGTTGGTTGGTTGGTTGGTTGGTTTGCTGGTTGGTTGGTCGGTTGGTTGAATATTAGATCGGGCATTCGTGTTATTTAAACACTGTTTGACTATTGATTGAATCAACAAACTATTTTGTCAATCATTGAATGATTGAGTTTTTGTTTTACAAAAACAAATAAACGGCTTTATAAATTGATAACATTTTAACAGCTGATCATTACAGCTTCTATATTTTCTTAAATGTGGTAAGAAACGCGAACTGCAATACTTACGAAATCAATATTAAACTTTTACACGCATTTAATATGATTATAAATATTTTTAAATTTAGTAAGGATAAAGACGAAAGAGCTCATTAAAAAAGTTGCTTTGTATCAAAACAAATTGTTGGTAGGTAGTTTATTTACCTCATATATAATGAATAATGCATATAACACACACACACATACACACACAAAACACACGCTCAAAATACTCGTAGATACAATACAGCGATACGTTCTTGGTATACGAGTCTCCGGCTGATAATGCCCTAAGTCTTCAGTACAAGCACTGCAACAAATTCAACAAGAAAATTGATGCCACTATCGTTATGATCTGCAGTTGCAACATAATTACCATAATTGTTTGTCTGTCTGTCTGTCTGTCTATTTATTTATCTGTCTGTTTGTTTGTTTATTTGTTTGTTGATGATGTCTTCTTGGTGTCAGTACGATTAATTGATGTTTCGCCTCGATGTTTCATGTTCAATTTTGTACTGGCATATTTTATTTAGTCTTTACTGTGCTTGTAGCAATGTTTCGACGATATTATTATCATCATCATTGTTATTGTTATCATTATTATTCTTGTTATTATTATTATTGTTAATATTATTTTTGCTATCACTGTCAGCAGTGTTGTTATCATCGTCGTCGTCGTCGTCATCACCGGAACAACAAAATTTCCAGGACAGACAAATAACATCCCTATCGTTTGATGGTACGCGACAAAATGATTGGCTCTTAGACTCGCAGGTCAGGTACGTCAAGGTCGTCGGCGGACCAATAGGGAGAGAGGGATTGTTGGTGGGATTGAAAAACGGAAAAGTGATGCTCATTTTTCTGGATAATTCTTTTCCAGTTCTCCTCTTAACTATCAATGGCATTGTAAAAGGACTGGATTTCAATGCTAACAGGTGTTGTTGTGTTGGCTGTTGTTGTGGTTATCGTCATGTTATATTAGTTGTTAGTATTGTTACTAATTTCATGATTAATGTTTATTTTAACTTGAAATTTTTCATCTTACCCGTAACTTCGTCGGTTTTCTATTTTCTTGAGACGAGAAAGAAAATTTATTTTCATTTTATTATGCGTTTGCTATGTTTACATATTTCGAGAGGAAATTGTTTTGAAAATGATGACGACGACGATGATGGCTATAACCATGATATTAATTATAAATAATATAAATAACTATAATCAATGAAAATTAATAATTTATAACCAAAAAGAACATTATTGGCGATCGTTGACGAGCACAACACCTGCCTCGTCTATGACGTCAGAACGAAAGAGCTTCTCTATCAGGTTGTCGGAATTTTTTATTTCAAAAGTAATAAATTGAAATAGATAAAATTTTTAATCATAGACAAGTAAAAAATAATCTTACGGACTTCTGGCATCAAAATTTTCCTATCATTACAAATAATATTGCACGCCTAATTAAAAATCATTCTAAAATTTCTGAAAATAAATTATTTTTTTTTAAATAAAATTAAAAATAAAAAAAATTTAATAACTACTGAATAAAAAAATAGTCGTGAAAAAAACTTTCTTTCGCAAGCGCAGGAGCCAAACGCAAACAGCGTAGCGTGGAATACGTGTTTCCTGGAAATGTTGAGTTTCAGTTTCAACGGTCTGCTGAGTATAAAGAGCGGGAACTTTCCAATACAACAACAGAAGCAGCAGGTCTGAATGTTGCTGCTTGTTGTTGTGTTTTTATTTCTATCTTGCAAATCTTAAGAATAAAAAATGTTGGTCCAGTTGTAATTTTTTTCTTATTTTCCGCTGTTGTTGAAGGCTTTTTTTTATTCCATTTAATATTTCATTGTCACCATCATCTTCATGATCAATCGTCGTCATTGCAATCAACATCTTCACCATTATTGTCATCACCATTCTCATGCTAAATCGTCATCATCTTCGTCATCGTCCTCATCATCTTCGTCATCGTCCTCATCATCTTCGTCATCGTTCTTATCATCATCATCGTCGTCCTCATCATTTTCGTCGTCGTCCTCACCATCTTCGTCGTTTTCATCACCATCGTCGTCACCAGGGCTTCGTGTTGTCCTTTGACGGACCCCGCATATACTGCCTGACGAAGACGGGCGTGACCAACGTTGCTGTACCATACTCGGCCATTTTGTATCAGTACATTGAGAAGAAATCTTTCAAGTCAGTATTTTACATTACTGTCGTTATTAATTATTATAATAGCGGTTGTGCGATGGTTTGCTTGATGGTCAAGATGTCTGGCACTGATGTCGCAGTTACTGGGTACGAACGCAAAGAGACTCCAGCCTACCATAAGCAGTGTATTGTAATAATAATAATAATTTTGTTATATATATATATATATATATTTAATTATATTTATATATTTGTATATTTTTCATTTTGATTATCGTTGACAATTATTGTTTCTTTCTTTTCATGTATGTTTTTAGGATGAAAATAAAAAGGCGTTATCATTGTTTTTGCAACCCCCCCAGAGACGCATACAAGATAGGCTGCCTCGGTGTGACCGATGACGACTGGCGATTTTTGGGCCAGCAGTCTTTGGAGAATTTCGACTTTGAAATCGCGCGCAAATCCTTCGTGCAGATAAGAGAGATCATCTACATTGACTTGGTCCTTGAGATTGAGGAGAGAGTGAGGAGGGGAGAGAAAAATAAAAAGGTTACGAACGATCTAGATGATGGGGGTGAGGATTGTGATGGTGATAATGATGGTTATTGATTCATCAATTCTTTCGTTCCTTTAAATTCATTCATTAAAATTCATTCATTTGTTCATTTATTTACATTTATTTGTTCATTCATTTATTCATTCATTCATTCATTCAAGGTCATTTTAGGCGACATTTTGGCTCTTCAAGGCCGTTACGAAGAAGCAGCTGACAGCTACAAAGCAGCTGGTCAGCCTTCAAAAGCTATCGAGATGTACACGGATCTAAGAATGTTCAATATGACCAAGGTGATGAGGATGGTGATGATGATTGTGATGATGACGATGATGATGACGACGATGATGATGACGATGATGATGGCCACAAATTTGTAGGACCTACTAGCAGACGACGATGGTAGCGTAGACAAACGTGCTCTCATGTCTAAGCAAGCTGCCTGGGCCACCAGCCTCAACGACCTCAAGTATGCCACAACAGTTGTACTACATTTTTATTATTAATATTTATTTTTTATTATTTATTTATTTATTAGTTATTAATTACCTATTTGGGGTTTTTGTTATTAGTTGTTGAATAGTCGATGATTGATTGGTCAGCGGTCAATCAATCAACCAACTAACCAACCACCGGCCAATCAGTTACTACTGACCAATTAAATAGATCGGCAGCGGAGATGTACATGTCTGCTGGAGAGATGGGCAAAGCTATCGACATCATGGGTCATAACGGATGGTCCGATATGTAAGTGGTTACTATCTCGTTCTACTCGATACTATTCGATACCATTTGATTCTATAGTCTTCTATTTTTTTAATGAAAATGTCTCTCTGTTTGTTTTTACCATTTTAAAATATTTTTTTAAACAGCTTTTCAATATTATTACAAATACAAAAATAACAGTGAAAAATTAAAATAGACATTATTGAAACAAAACGAAACGAACCTCAATGACCATTTGACCTTTCGATCTCAGGCTCATAGAGGTCACGAGAAAACTGGACAAAGGTGACCGAACGAACTTATTGAAATGTGCCAACTTTTTGAAGGCCTTGAAACAGTATGCTTACGCTGCCGAGATATTCGAGAACACAGGTGATATCGCATCTTTGGTCAAACTGCAGACCGAAACGGAAATGTGGGATGAGGTGTTTATGACGTCATTAAAAATAATAATAAGAATAATAATTATAATAATATTTTAAAATAATAATAATATTATTATCATTATTAAATTAATTATTTTATTGCTATCAGAACATAATTATTCAATAATTTTTCATCGGAAGGCCATAGAAACAGCGCATAAACATCCGGAATTTAAGAAGGAAATCCACTACGCACACGCCATCTGGCTAGCCGAGAAAGATCTTTTTGAAGACGCGCAAAAAGGTGCCAACTTTCAATAGATAACAAATAATATATATTTAACCAATCAAACATCAACTAATCAACAATCGACCAATCAACAATCGACCAATCAACAATCGACCAATTAAACATCGACCAATCAACCATCAACCATCGACCAATCAACTAACTACTGGCCATTAAATCCTCCATGACCAATCGAATCAACTACTGACTGACCAATCCTATCGTCATTATCATCACCAAGCTTTCCATAAAGCTGGTAAAGAGCAGGAAGCGATTCTAGTGTTGGAACAACTTACCGACAATGCGGTCCTGGAGAAACGGTTCCAAGATGCCTCCTACTATCACTGGCTGCTTTCAATGCAATTTCTTGACTCAGCCGCAACCGCAAGTTTGTTGACGTTTGATTGGCAGATGATGAGGATGATGATGATGATAATGTTGATGATGGTAACATCAATGATGATATAGACAGATGATGATGATAATTCTTATTATCGAATACGGTTATAATGATAACAGATGATGTTAATGTGTTACGTGCATTTGATAAAATGTAAGATATTGATAGGGCGTATTTTATATACTTCTTAGCACTTTATAAAGGTTAAAAGGCCATAAAAGTTAAAGGCTAAGGGTCATTTTCTTGCACTTGCTTAAGAAATATCAACGGCACGCACTTTTATTAAATAAGATAGACGGTGGATCGCTTTGTTTTCGAACCCCATCACTGCAAGTTGGACCAAGTAAAACAACCAGACGTCTCACGCCAGCATGCCGCCTGTGGTGGTGTAATAAATTCTTTTTTGTAATTTGTGTATATTCTGTATTTTGTGTATATTCTGTATTTTGTGTATATTTTGTATCTGTGTATATTTTGTGTATATTTTGTATTTTGTGTATATTTTGTATTTTGTGTATATTTTGTATTTTGTGTATATTTTGTATTTTATTTCTTTTGTATTTTTTTCATTTTCAGCGGGAGAGAAACAGACGGATTTGTTGAAAAAGTTCAACGAGTACCAAAGAAAAGCCGACATCTATTATGCCTACCATGTTATTCAGCGTCGCGTTGTATGTTATTTTTTTGTTTGTTTGTAGTAGTTTGTGTTGTCGGTGTCTGTCTGTTTGTTTGTTTGTTTGTGTGTGGATGTGTGTTTGTTGAGGGAAGGTGATGCTGTAAATGTAAATAGAATAAAGATTTGGATGTTTTTGTTGCTGTCTTCTATGTTTGCAAGAATCGATCGTAAAAAATTTATAATTTCTATACAGCCAACTGTCGTTTTTTTTACCAAATTTATCAGTTTTAAAAAACCACAACCCCACACCAACACAAACAACAACACGCCAACACAAACAGCACCATACCAATACTAACACCAACACACACAAGCAAACAACAACAACACAACAGGAAGAACCATTCACGTTTCACAGCCAGGACTCACTCTTCAACATCTCGCGCTATCTCACCAATCGCCTGGCCAATGAATCTTTACTAGGCGTTTCTAAAGTGTAACCTTTTTTAAAATAAATAAATAAATGCTAACTATAATTTATTTTATTATGATTATGAGTTAAATAATAATTAAATTCTCATGTTCAAACCTTGACTCGAGATTAGGTACATATTATATACTCTGGTGAAACAAGGGCGCCATCTAGGTGCCTATAAGTCTGCTAGGCAGGCACATGAAAAATTTCGCAGCCTTTTAGTTCCGCCCATGTTACAGACTCTCATTGATGTTGACTGCCTCTGTATTAAGTCAAAACCTTTTAACGATGCAGAGGTTTGTGTACATGTGTGTGTGTGTGTGTGTGCTTGCTTGTATGTGTGTATGTGTGTGTGTGCTTGCCTGTGTGTATTATGTGTTTTTATTTGTATTTTTGTGTTTTCTTGCGCGTTTATTGCGTGTTTTTGTATGTGCGTTTCAATGTTCAATCAACCAGCCAACCAATCAACAAACTAGCCAACTTATTAATCAGCCAACCAATCAACCAGCCAATCAATCAATTAATCATCCAATCAACCAATCTATCAGTTAATCAACCAACAAACCAACCAATCAATCAACCATCCATCCATCCAACCAACCAATCAGGAGTTGTTGCCAGTATGTTATCACTGTTCATCCACGAATCCTCTCCTCAGCAAGCACGGAAATGTTTGTGTCAACTGCAAACATCCGTTCGTCTTCTCCTTCGTTTATTTCGGTTCGCTCCTTTGCTAATAAATATAATTTTTATATTATTATTATTATTATTATTATTATACGATCGTCACAAGCGCTGTCATAATTATCATCATCATCATCACCACCACCATATCATCATCATCACCGTCGCATCATCATCATCATCACCACCGCCACATCATTATCATCAACGTCACATCATTATCATCACCATCACATCATTACCGTGACTGTAGAAACACTTCCATTGATTGAATTCAAACTGGAAGATGGTCTGACGGACGGAGAAGCGATGAGTCTGCTGGAATTGGAAGCTCCACAACATAGCGGGAAAACGGTAAACCGGAAGAGGAAAGATTCTAAATCAGGTTTTGATGATGATGATGATAGCAATGACGGCGGTGATGATGAAGATGATAACGGTGATGATTTTTGCATTCTTGAATATTTATCATCATCGTCATCATCATCGTCATCATCATATTAGTCATCGTCATCGTCATCATCATATTAGTCATCATCATCATATTTGTCATCATCACCATCGTCATCATCACCATCGTCATCATCATCACCATCATCGTAAGCAGGGGTAAAACTATTCGGAAGACGTGGAAGTCATAATGACGGTGGTGGTGGTGGTGATGGACATGATGGTGACGAACACGACGATGATGATGGTGATGACCCGTTCGCTGCCAAGTTAACGAGATATGAGGTGCAAATCACCATCAACATCATCGCCAACATTATTCATCATCATCATAAATATTATTATAATAATGATAATATTATTATTCTTATCATCATCATCATCAGGACAACAACGACAATCTAGACGACTACGACAACATCGCCAACAACAATTACAACAACATCAATAACAACAACATCAACAACAACAGCAAATCAACAAAGGCAAAGCCAGTGGTAGTAAATAGAAACCATTTGAAAAAACTCTCACTGACTGACGTCATCATTTGCAAGTGGAAAAACCCACTCCACTTCCGGTACTACAAAATCGCATTTACCGACGTTCCGATCGTCAAATGCGACTCTTGTAATCGGGTAAGTATTCGGTGCGGTATCTGACAAATCACTGTTATAATTATTACAAATGAATTAATCATTTCATCTATTTTTATTACCACTACTACACTACTGCACTACTACTGCTTCTATCAGCAACTACAACTACACCTACGACCGCTACTACTCTTACTACTGCTACTACTACTACAACTACCACTATAATTATTATTATTATGTTATTATTATTAATAATATTAATAAAATAATATTATTCATTTATTAGATGTTCTTGAAAGATGACTACGAACTATTGATGTTGCAATACGGAAAATGCCCATTCTGTAGGAAAGCGATGGAGCAGCAAGTACAATAATGACGACGACGACGACGATGAAATGTGGTGGCGATTATGATGGTAAAATGTGATTATGATGCTGATGTTGAAGTGATGATGATAATAATAATAGTGATGATGATAATAATCACGATGATGACGACGACGATGAAGATAGAGATGATTATTGTGGAATATTGATTTGAAATGATGATGACGATGTGATGATTAGCTTGATAAAAATAATAATAATGATGACGACGACGATGATGATGATAGCGTTGGAAAGACACTGATGATAATTTAACGATGCTGACGACGATGACGTAATGATGATATCATATAAAATGATGACTCTGTATATAAAATTAACGATTATGAAGTTTCACATTTATAACACCAAAATAATAATAATAGTTATTATTATTATTATTTTGGCGATAACAATAATTATAGTGTGATAATGATAATATAAAACTCCATGTTCTTTAATTATTTTATTTGGCATAATTTGATCGTCATATCAAGAAAATATAACAAGGTGGTCTGAACACAACAATTAACCAAATATTATTCTTAAAACGCATTTTATTTCATGATAATTATTTCATAAATAATAAAATTCATAATTTATACATTCTCTTAATTATCTATAATAATTTTATAAATAAAAACCAAGAAGCTGAACAAAGAATAGAACGACTTGATAATTTCAACATAACGTACACTGCATTTCGTGAATAAACGAACGAAAATTCTTCATCTTACGACAAAAAGGCCTGGATATAAAACACATTGGATATATAGTATATAGTCTCATTTATGTGTTTGTTTGTTTGTTTGTGTGTTTGTTTGTCTGTGTGTAAAGATCCGTGTAACAGTTATCTTTAAAATATCAAATGTTAGACTCTGCTTTACGAATGCCACTAAAACAAAACCGATGTAACAGAAATACATTTTAAATGCAAAATCAATTTAAATTTGGTTAAAAAAAGAGCTAGCTGGTTAGAAATTTCATATTACGTTAAATACAGAATATCGACAAACGTAGTTTCAATTAATCAAACAATCGATCAATCAGTCAGTCTGTCGGTAGGTCATTCAACTAATCAACCAATGAACTTTATTCAAGATTTGAAGAAAATATCACAGAGTCCGTTAAAAAGCAGCGAATTTGCCAGAATAAGAAACCAACCAACCAATCTATGGCTCTATCAATTAATTACCCAATCAATTCATCAATCAATCCATCAACCAACCATCTACCACCATTATAGAAAGTTTCGTAAAAATATCACAGCATACATTAGTAGCATCGAAATTTATACAAACAGGTGACAGTAAGAATTATTATAATGCATAGAGGAGTGATAGATTTTCATGTTAAATAAAGATTTTTTCACTAACTTTTACACTGAATGGAGAAAATACTTTTCAATAAACCATCTTTTGAAGATAATTTATGACAATACTCATGACGGCTAGTACACACAAAGTACATTTTCTTTCGTACGCTCCAAGTACAACAACTGCACATCATAAGTAAAGTTATTACACTTTCAACTACAACTGCATCCTCTATGAGAAATTGCGTATTTTTGAGTGAAAAAATTATAAACGTTTTTTGATACTAACAAAAAAAAAGTTAATGACAAAAATATAAATAATACACGAAAGCAACAGCGTATCGAAACAAGCTTTCTGTAAATGAATAACGCTAAAAACGAGGGACTCTATATAAATATCGTCAGAGCCAGTCAGAATCAAAATGATTTATCTACAACAAACAAAATATATTACCGAATTAAATGTTTTAACAAAGTAACTAAATAAAAAAAATTTAATTTAAAATTATGGCACACAATTCTTCATACGTACAAGTATATGCACGCGACAACGTACGTACATAGTACCAATTAGGTACACAACACACAGTACCAATTAGGTTGGTACCAGGTTGTATACGCAACTCTATAAGAATTCAGTAACAAAATTAATAATTAAAAATTTGAATATTAATTTAAGAGAGAGAGAAAGAGAGAGGGAGAGAAAAAGAAAAAATAAGAGAAACCGATATACGAACAAAAATCAATAACTGAAATTGTTACCAAAATCACGAGCAATAAAATTTAGTGAGTGAAGCACTTTAAAATAAAAATTTGACATACGCAATATAACAAACAAACAACACTTTTAATGGAAGCTGGCAAATAAGCTTAAAGATCAGGTTAAAACTAATACAGGGATAAATGTATTATCTATCTATCTATACATATATATATAGATAATATATATATATATTTATACATAATAAAGATTGAATGTTAAAAACAACTAAAAGCTATATTTACAATTCAGAATGACATAAGCAACAGCAATGACAGTTCAACAGGGTAGAAAATAATAATAATTAGCAGCATAACGACATTAACGAATATTAAATTGAAAGATAGATGGAGCGTACACATAAGCGGTAAATATCTTCATTTCGGTTAATATGTAACTGATAAAATAGAATAACACGCGTCGATCTTATCATCATTATACTCATTTTCATCGTCGTCGTCATCGTCATCATTTGAGAGCAGTTTGTTTGTGGTTTGTAAGTTGAAATTAAAAATGACTATGTACGTAGAATAATTTTTTTATAAAAACAACCTTTTAATACATATACACACACACATATATATAAGCACACACATATTTACAAACGCACACACACATATTTACAAACACAAACACACGTATATATATATACATATGTGCAAACATACACACACACACACAAAGAAAGAAAAAAAACACAACATTCTTAAACTACAGCGGCACCCTCTGCGAGATTGTGTACAGCAAGTTGTGGATACTGCTTGCTGCCCCCGCCAGGAACTGTGACAATGATGGCATTTAATTTACTGTGGGTACAACCTTTCCAGGCAATTCTGTCCAGCTGCAGCCTCTTGCTTGGATGCTTCAAATCTTTGTCTACATGTATCACGCACGGTTTGGAAGACTCCTGAATGATTAATACACCTTCAGGAATGGTCCCGATGTTGCTACTGTCAACTGAAATGATGCATGACGATTTAAACTTCCTTGATCCGTCGATTAAGTGATTGAGTTCCGAAAGATCATACGCTTCTTCAAGAATTCTGCCAGTCTCCATGATGTGTCTCGATATTTTGTAGGAGGCAAATTCATTTTTGTCATACTTTCCAGATCCATAGAGTACGTACAAAATCTTTTGTTGACAGCTTGCACCATCTCCTGCTTCGTTCACCTTGTCTGTCAGCAGAGATATGCAGAGCTTCATTGGAAGACGTGCGTCCGGTTGTAACTTTATGACAGATATTTTCTGCCAGGTTGCTGTTTCGTTAATGCTACCAGATGTCGAGTAGGTAGATGAAGTGTCGTAAATCTCGACCAACATATTTTTGTCTCCCTTGAGAATGACGACAATCCTGTTCTTAGTGGTCGGATCAACGGTGGAGCTGGCGGGCACGCCATCAACCAAACCCTTGCACACTTTTTCGTCTGTCGATAGGTGAGGAAAAATCCTGAAAAAAATGTACAATTGACGTTTTTCAAAAACCATTTTTTTTTCATATTTGAATTAAAAATCATCTCATAAATTAATTAAGATAAAACTGACAATAAATTAATTAAGATAAAACTGACAATAAATTAATTAAGTTAAAAGTGACACGCCAACAAACGAATTAGGCTTTTATTTCTTGAGATCAAACAACAAATCAGGCAAAGCAGTCAGCCACCTATAGATTGCAGCAAGTTGCTTAGCAGAGTAGTCACAGACATACAACGAGTTGCTGAGGTAGCAAGCAGCAAGATCCCTGGCCATCAGCATGCTGGCGATAACTACCTCCTCTCCCTTAATTCTGTTGTAAGGATTCTCATCAACGAACGTGAAGACTCTATCGAACTTCTCGCACACGCAGTAAATTCTGCTCCCTAGATGGCACACTCCCCTGATGACTGTGTCCGGAGCCACATCGTTCAGCGTCATCCTGTAGCCGATCTGTGTCAGAGCTGTTGTGGTCACGGTGTAACAAACATTACAAACTCGTGTAATTCCATATATCAAAAATGTAGCCAGCCCATTCGCAAACAAAAAAATGATCGTCTATTTAAACATGTGAATTAAGCATGTTACAACCAAAAAAGGGTTAAGTGAGAATAAAACCAACCCCTGGAGCCAGCTGTTGGTTCCTCTGGAATGGCAGTTATGGATGAGTTTGATTTCTTGAAGGAGTGAGTCCTCGATGGCCTGGGAAAGTTGGGAGGCGGTTGTTGGAGGCGAGGTAGTGGAGTGCCCGCTGATGTGCCTGTGGATGATGAAGTTGAGTTAGTTGTTGTCTGTGCTGATGTCACCGGTTGTGTTGTCGTTTGAGAGGTTGTTTGTGGGCTGCTGCCCTGAGAACCATTGCTACCTGGGTTTAAATTTTTTAGTTCATTAGCATCTTTAGGCTTTGATTCTTTCTGGGCTTTTCTGGAATTAAAAAATATTGAAACCATTTTTATAACTCCTGCAAAAAGGTTCATTATAACTCACAACAATCACATTCAACTAATTTTAATAGGAATTTTTCAACTAAATTTTCAAAATTAATTTTTTTACCCTGACTAATGTATGGAAAAAAAAACATCCACAAGAACAGCAATAATAACCTTCTCCTGTACACAAAAAAAAGAACAATGAAGAGAAGAAGAAAAAGGATGACCACGATTCCACCAGCCAACCCAGCATGCAGTCCTGAAACTCCTGCTGCTGTTGCTACAGGTTCATAAGCCCAAACATTAAGACACCCAATCCATTGGAATCATCATAAGGAATTATAATAAATAATAAATATGATTATAATAATTATAATAATAATAATAAATATAAAAATTTGAAATCAAGAAATAATTAAATTAACAAATATTTTAAAATGCGAAAAGAAAAACAATATAATGAAGAATTGAAAATATTTCATTAAGTCAAAATCACTGCCAATTTGAATGAAAGAAGAAAAAATGAGAAACAGACCAGGTTTGTTTCCCGCACTCTCTCCCTCAACTTCAAGCATCTCTGCCAGTAATGAACATTCAACTCCATCGTCCATCTTACACTTAGCTATGCAGCGATACAATCCAGGTGACTTTATGTGGGTGGCATTTAACTGAGACCCTTCGATTGTGTGATGCTCTGGTGGGGAGTTGTCAACCTGCAAGCTGTGCTGCCAGCTGTAAGAACATCTTCTCGACGACGTGGTGGCCGAGCAATTGACGGGCTTTGCTTCTGTTACCAGCTGCTTTGGCAATTTACTGGTTGTATTCTCTGCATCTGTGAGGTTATATGTTAGTCTAAATCAAAAAAACACTAGGTTAAAATTGTTTCAAAAAAAAATATTAGTTGAAGAGTAATGTAAACCGTTAAACTTTGAGTTTGGTCATTTTTAATAAGTTAAACATGTTAAACATTTATAAAATAATAAACTAACACTGAACAGAGAGCTTATCTAGCGAGCAGACGGTTACATGAGTATTGCCAGCAGTGAGCCTACACTCCAATTTAAGGCCATCCATCTCTTTTGTTACTTTTACAAAATCTTGGACCGCATATTCATCTGGTCGAGATGGGTCAGTTGTGGGTTTGTGTTGTACAATTATGGGAGTTTTCTCATTAAAAAAAACTTCCTGGTCATCTCTGTTGTAAAACTTCCAAGAAAGGGAGATTGTTTCATGATTAGGATTATAAACACTTAATGAGCATGACCGACTGATGTTACTTTGATGCACAGTACTACAGTCTGACCTCCCAACTAAGTTTTCAGTTTTGGTTGGGCTGCATTTGAAAGTTGTATCATCTGTATGCATGTCAAAAGTAATCAATGTTAATAAAATAAATAGATTAACTAAAAAATCAACTACTGTAATTAATCAGTTTAATTTTTAAACTAAAATAATTTGAGCATCGAGAAAATATTTAATTTATCATCCTCCTCTAATTGAAAATGAATAAACCACAGCAAACCTATAACTAGTAGATTGAAAATATGCGTTTCAACTTTTTCCGCTTTTTTGAAAATATTGCAGGTGATCAAACTTTCAACTTTGAAAATTGAATTCTCAATTTTGTAGAAGCATCCCTTGCTGCTACAATTTTGATGCCTAACCTGTTGCAATCCATATTGAAATACCTGTCGCATATTAGTAATTTCAGTATTTGGGTAAGGACAGAACACCACAACATTAGCATTATTTCTTCTTGTCACAACCACCTCTGTCACATCACTTCCATCTACAAACAATTATAATGTAGATCATGTTATTGTTATTTCATTAATTAAACTTTAAACATAATAATAAATTAAATAATAAATCAACTTTTTAAACAGAAAATAAATCACCAAAGTTATTTTTGTTTTAATTAAAATAATTTTCAGAAGATAAAGTTAAGAAAGACACACTCACATACTCATGCTGAGACACAAGACTAGGTTTAATCACTAGACTCACTAACTAGCTAGATAGACAGACACATAAGCACTAAACTTAAAGTCTTTTAAATTAATTTAAACTTAATCATCAATCAACTTATAATACTTATAAAATTATAAATAAGTTATAAGTTATAACTTATTTATTTTATTACCTTCCCTGAACACCTGCACTAATTTTAGAACAGAGCCACAAAGATTAATTAAATATTAAATTGAATCACTCACAAATTAAATAGGAAACCAGCAGAAGACAAGCCCACTGATACAAAAACGTATTTCTTATAACAACTCCCTTCGGTGTACACGAAACGACATTGCCAAGTGCGGTCGCCATTTTAAAACCCGCTATAATAATCTAAAATTAAAAACTATTTATTTAATATTTAGCAAAGTTATTTAATATTCATCCGACATTTAACTCGCACCGCTTGATGACAATTAGTAATCGTCCATTGAAATTTTCCGGATGCTATTGGTTTACAAATTAGACGCATGTTCTTCATTTGCTGGCAGGTATTTTTTTTTTAATTGGAATTGATATATTTAGTACGTGGTTACAAGGGGAGGCCTATTTACCAGCATACAACACCTTCTTATGGGTTGAAGCAGGGATATGCAAAGAACCTCAATTTTTTCAACTTTTAATTATTTTCAGTAATGTCTCCCCTTGCTCCAAACCACATAACTAGAATAATAGGACTAATCGATCAATTCGATCTATCGGTCGGGCTATTTGTCGTGCTTTGATTGTTGGCTTACGAAATTGCAGGGATTTTAACGAGTAAGCTAAATGAAATATTTACTTGATTTAATATGCTTAAAACATTGTAGTAATTCTATTTAATTTTAATAATGATTAATAGAATTATGTATTATTAAATTATTTTTGTTAATTTGAATATAAAATTGCTTTTGGTCCGGTAAAATCCGGTGGCTTACTGAAGCCGAAGGTTGGCTTAGTAGGATTGAACTATAGTTACCCTTTTTTTTACACTATTCGATCATGTTAAAAATTGGTTTGCTTTTGAAATAAACAACCTAAATAAATCAAAATTGTTATTTGAACAACTATCTTCATTATATTCAATGAATATTTTACATTCTGCTGGAGCTCATAAGAAACTGGCTTACAGGGTTTCATAAAACTCTTACGATAGCACTTTTTTGTACATATAATGCTTTAAATAAATCAATATATTCATATCACAATTATTTTTGTCAGTATAAATATAGAAATTGCTTTTGTCAGGTGAACAGTGGCTTACTGAAGCCGTAGGTTGGCTTAATCGGATTTTTTCTCATGTATACAATACTATGAGATAAATCAATCAAACAATCAAACAATCAGTCAGTCGGTCGGTCGGTCAGCCAGCCAGCCAGCCAGTCTGTCAGTCAATCAATCAACCAACCGATCAATCAACCGATCAATCAATCAACTAAATTGAATGAACCAAATAAAAATAAAAACAAAAATAAATAAAAAAAATTTGCAAGGCCTGTTCAAACTCGAACAAACAGTTAACCGTACAGATCTACAAACAATTTCGAGATTTTAGTAAAGAAAGAAAAACACAGTAGTTGCTTTTATTTGAATTCATTCAAAAATGAAAAGTGACGGTTAATTAAAATTTTAAAATGTCAATTTTTTTTTAAAATTCGTGTTTTAAATAAACAAATATAACAAAATATCGACTGATAAAACTAATTATTATCCATTATTATTATTATCATACACACTCCTTAGAAGTTCTCGAAGGATAATAAACCACGTAACATGAACATTTAGTAAGAACAGTTCACAACATATAATGACTAAATCAACATACTAAACAGAAATAATTTATACATGCATATATACAAAGTAAATCAAGAAATATCCAAAAATTATATAACCAATTTAAAAAAAAACTAGAAACCAGTCAACATTTAATGAATAAATAAATAGACATTATTAAAAAGATTGTTCAAAAAGGTACAATTTAAGGCGACGACGAGAATGAAATGTAGTTTTGTTGGTGTGGTGTTGTGAAGCGAAAACAAACACATCACACAACTAGTAAGAAGTCGCAAGAATAATAGTCACCTACCTATAATAAAATTACTCTCAGGGCCCTAGCTTACTTATAAACATTGACTCAACTCACTTACCTACAAATTTGTATTTCTCGTTTTAGATGTTTCAAGTATTTTATTTAACATATTTTAGCGTTTTTATTTTACTTGAAGCTTTTTAACTAGTGTTAAGCCCTAGCCTACCTACAATTGTTTAACTCATCTCAGTCCCTAACTTACCTATGAATTAAATTAAAGCCCGGTTCACAGTAAAGAAAATATAAAGTTGAAGAGAAACATAGCAACAACGACACCGAATGAATGGATGTTGTGTATGTATGTGTTGTATTGATGTGTGTGTATGTAAATGTGCGGGCGCTCACTCTCCAGAAACTTCACTCACTACCGACGAACCTCCATTGCACCGACCATCATCTGACACGCATCGATGGAATGAATTTGACCGGATACTGAAAAATAAATTGAAAAAAAAATTAATTCACTAAAATAAAAAACAAGCAATTGGAAAAAATAGGCAACTTATCTTTTTGAGATAACACTCAATCTTTGTTCAAATTCGAGTACTTTCAAAGGTACAATGAGACAAAAACAAATTTACCTTTAACATTATCTTCGATTTATCATCGGAACAATCATCATGAGACCACCATCTGAAACGTGCTGACGCCCACCACAGCCCACCTCTCATCATTCTGTAGACAAGTTTTTATTAATTAGCGAAGTAGTAAATCAAGAAACAAAGAAACGAACGAATAAATGATTAACTGAATGATTGAACGATTGGTTGAATGAATAAATTAACTAATTAATCAACCAATGATTTAATGAATGAATCAATGAATAAATTAACTGAGGAATAATTTGAAAGATAGTGATAAAATGAATGAATGAATGAATGAGAAAAATAAAAAAAAAGAAATAAATCATACTTCAAAAACCGTCGTTGTTGTTATCTTCGAATTGTCATCGGAACGATCATCATGAGACCTCCATCTGAAACGTGCTGGTGCCCACCACAGCCCACCTCTCATCATTCTGTAGACATTTTTTAATAGCGTATTAGTAAATCAAGGAACAAAGGAACGATCGAATAAATGATTAAGTCGATTTATTGAATAATTGGTTGAATGAATGAGTGAATGAATGAATTAATTAATAAACCAATGATTCAATTAATGAATAGAATGAATTAACGAATCAATTAATAGAAGAATAATTTAAAAGGTTGAGTGATAAAATGAACGAATGAGAAAAATAAAAAACGAAACTAAACCTTACTTCAAAAATCGTCGTTACTGTACTTTCCATTGCACCGACCACCACTATCTGGTCGGCACACAAAATACCATCCGAACTTCAGAGTGTCAGTCGAACAGCCAACGAGCTGATTCTTCCTACACCACCATCATCATATGTAAATCATCATGAGACCACCATCTAAAACGTGCTGACTCCCACCACTGCCCACCTCTCATCATTCTGTAAACAAAATTTTTTTATTTGCGTAGTAGTAAATGAATGTTAGAATCTTAGAAGCAAAAAAAAATAAATTATAAAATGAAAATAATGTCAAATAAATAAAATTTTAAAAAAATAAAGTAAGTAAAATGTAAAAAAAACTTACCGTCGTCCATTCGACAAAGGCAGAATGTTGAATGCGGTCCGGTTCCTACGTTGTCCTCCAAAACTGGTGCCAGTCCTCCTCGAGGTTGTTGAAACACAGCCCGTGTTGATGGAGAAAGATAGAGAAAGAGTAGATTCTCATTAGAAAGCTTAGCGGTGCCTGCATCTCAAATTGCTTAATAAAAATAATCCTATCTACCTATTCAATTACCTTAACTAATCTATATTAAATTGATAATGGTACGATAGTCGAAAGTCCCCCTTCATTCTCCTTCCTTGCACAGAGGTTCACCGACAGCCAGGGCACCGGATAGAAAACCATTGCCGTGCGGATAGTAGACTATTGCCGTGCGGATAGTAAACCATTTGCCGTCCGGAAGCCGTGCGGGTAGTAGACTATGGCCATGCCGCATGGTAAATCATTACCGTGCAGATAGTAAACCATTGCCGTCCGGATAGTAAACCATTGCCGGTACACCACTGGCCACCGAGGCTTACCTCTGACAACAGACTTCGAAATTCAGAGTCTATCGGCTATCGTACCCTCAACTTACCTATTCATTACAATTAAGCCCTAGCTTACCTAAAGTTACAAAAAAACTCAAGAGCCCAATTCATTTGCCAATCGGCACCCACCCCACCACCTACGTAATGCCTTGGGCTCCAACTTAGTAATAATATAAAACTTAAACCCTAAATCTATTAATGAGTGTGTGTTACAACGTAGCCTTAACTTACCTATTCATTACATTATGGCCCTAGCCTACCTAAAATTACAAAACTCAAGAGCCCAATTCATTGGCCTTTCGGCACCCACCCCACCACCTACGTAATGCCTTGGGCTCCAACCTAATAATAATAATGTAAAACTTAATAATTAACTTACCTCTCGATACACTTACAGCGTTTATTTAATTTAAATTACAAGATTGTTCCTAGAATTAAATTATTGCTTTTAACTACCTATGAAATTAAATTACTCTCAACCTTAGTAATAATAAATTAGAATGTGTAGTGAAAATAAAATAACGCTCAAATACTAATATGTGTTTATGTATGTATTTGTGTGTGTGTGTGTGTGTGTATAATACGCTGATGCGCGTAATGTGGGTGCGAGAAAAAATAGAAGAGATAAACTTACGCTGTCTACCTATTCAACTACATTAGTGTTGGATGCTTCCTATCTATCCTACCTACAATTAAAATTATGCCTATCTAACCTACCTATATAGCTATTTAATGTAATTGTGTGTATGTGCGTGTGCGTGTGAGCATTCTTACTTAATGTTAAATAACAGAGAAAAACAGAGAAAAAAGAATAAAACGTATCCCAGCCAGGCGTATCTTCTTTGCCATTGAAAGAACGAACGTAGCCTGACATCTTCCACGATGAATTCCTTTGGAAGCTTCAACCTGAATAAAATGGATGAAATGGAAAAATCTTATTTATTTGACTAATTTAAATGAAAATAGAAAAACGAGCCACGGTGAATTCCACCGGAAAATCCAGCCAACTGGCAAAAAAAAGAACCGCAAAGAAACCGTAAAACCTACCCCAGCAGGGCGTGCATTCTTTGCCACCGAATTAACGAACGTAGCGTGACACCATAACCATTCTGATCGTCCACGATGAACTCCTCTGGAAGCTTCAACCTGGATAAATGAACCTGAAAAACTTAAATGAATCGTAAAACCTTATTTATTCAATTTAAATAAAAATAACCGCAAAGAAACCGACGGGTCGGCAAAGAAAAGAAAAAAGAAGAGCAAAGAAAGGTATCTATATAGGATTTATGCTCTATATAACTCTATATAACTCTATATAACTCTATATAACTCTATATAACTCTATATAACTCTATATAACTCTATATAACTCTATATAACTCTATATAACTCTATATAACTCTATATAACTCTATATAACTCTATATAACTCTATATAACTCTATATAACTCTATATAACTCTATATAACTCTATATAACTCTATATAACTCTATATAACTCTATATAACTCTATATAACTCTATATAACTCTATATAACTCTATATAACTCTATATAACTCTATATAACTCTATATAACTCTATATAACTCTATATAACTCTATATAACTCTATATAACTCTATATAACTCTATATAACTCTATATAACTCTATATAACTCTATATAACTCTATATAACTCTATATAACTCTATATAACTCTATATAACTCTATATAACTCTATATAACTCTATATAACTCTATATAACTCTATATAACTCTATATAACTCTATATAACTCTATATAACTCTATATAACTCTATATAACTCTATATAACCATGCATACTACCACATTCAATCAATAAAAATCCCACTAAAACCAGGAACCACCGCGTACCTGCTGAATGTATGATGTGAAACAAAACAAAAAAAAAACACAAAACAAAAATCACACCACCAAGTAGAGTAAAAGAATAGGAGTCCCTAACCTACCTATGTTACTAAATTACCTTATGCCCTAGCCTACCTATATAATAAATTAATTTTTGCCTCACCTACCTATGCTTCATTAACTTAACTCAAGACTCATGAAGAAAGAGAAAAAGGAGCAAAAAAGAACATAAAATACTACCACACAAACAAACATGATGCATGTATGTATGTATGAGTAACCGTTAAAGAATCCACCTAAAATTAAAAAAATACCACCTACAAACATTCAAACCACCTACAAACATGCAAACTCTATATAACTCTATATAGATAATAAATATAAAATATAAATAAAAATAAAAAAATTTAAAAAATAAAATAAATGAGATCAGACAGACTGCTTCAAGCGAGGCAGAATGCTGATCTGATTTTCATGTTGTCTCAGCTCCTCTATTTATACTCGTTTCAACCATACATTCTCATCATTTCAATCATTCGCATCAGTAAAAAACTTGTTTAATGTATATACTGCACTATTATACAGTCTTAACCACAACGCTAACCGTACTAAATTGAAGTCATCGAACGAACGCCTTCGAAACTTTCTGGTTGGCTGGTTGAATCTGCTATATTGCTTTTCATATAAACATATAATCAAATATAATATAATTTAATTATTTGTATACATAGATTCCAGTCACTTTATATATATATAATAAAAATTCATTATAAAAGCAACAGTAATCAGTGCTATATATGTAAGCACGCAGTTCAAATTTTTCGGGGAGAATTCAAAATTGTTTGAGACCACACCTTGCTTAACATCCGATTCCAAGCCGAGCCAAGCCAAGCTGAGCCAATATGCATAGATTTATAAGCGCTTTTATTCATTTATACCGTTTTTTCCTTCCTGATTTCCTCATTTGTGACACGATCCATCATTCTTCTAATCCACATGTTCTTGCAGGCATTCAACTTTTTCCAAGTTCTCCTTAATTGTCTACGACTCAGTCCCATATATCAAAACACACACATACACACACACACATGTATACATTGTGTATATTACTTTGTATGTGCGTATACATATATGTATGTGTATGCATATATATATATATATATATATATATAAATATATATAAATATGTATATATATATAATATATAAAGTTGTGTTTGTCACGAGAACTTTACATAAATATCAACCATTGTGCACACATCAACATCCTCATTTAAAAAGCTAAAGATACAAATTTATTATAGTTATAATTTTATTGATTTAAAAATTATAAAAAAATCAATATAACAAATTATGATAAATAAGATTTTTTTCGAAACTTGTTTTTATTTATTGATCGTGATATTTTCTCAGAGCACATACGGTTAGCTTTGCACCAACGCCATTTTATATTTTATTAAAATTTTTCATATAATTTCTCTTTCAACCCTCCTAAATTTTATAATATCAAATTCATTTTCACAACTATCTCACCACCTAACACTTTTTATGGCCCAACATAGAAGAGGAAAAAGTTGTTCCTGTCCAGGTGAAAGTCGGAGAGGTATTCGTCAACACAATGGATGCTGCCCTCGTTCACGGCCAGTCAGTGACATTCAGTTGTTTTCTTCATAGAGGCATTGGGAAACCAGACTGGGCATTCGGGGACTGTAATCCTCTTAAACATTGTGAAGAATATATACCGACTTATTACAGACCCAGTTTCAAATATTTCAACTTCAACGAATATGAATTTTCTAATAACTCCACTCATTATATGATTACTTTTCACAATGTTACTTACAAATATGCCGGGTTTATCACATGTGTCGAAACTCAGGATAGTTTTTTTGAAAGAACAGATGATAGTGCTGAAAGATATTACACTCTTATCAACGTCGTAGGCGAGTACAATACATATCCTTCTTTTTAAAATAATTTCATCATTTCCTTTCATCGACGCTCTATTTTTTTATACTGAACGCTGATACAATTGACAAATTACGTGAGTTGTACGTGAGATCAAAAAAATTAGAACTTTACAACTGGTTATTCAATTCAACGATATCGCTTAATAAAATGTAAAAAAATTGTGTAGCACAAAAATAACATCATGCACATCAAAATATTATAATGAAGCTTAACGTTTCTATATAAGATGTTGAAATTTTGAATGGTGACCAAAAAGTGCAGTTTTGTTCTTTAAGCTTCATCGAGATAATTTGTTTATTGATGCTCTTTACGTTCTACGAACGTTTTAAGCTCCCTTTATAGCATTTATTTTTTTTTGGTTTCGATTGTTTCGATGCGTTTTTATTTCTCAAAGTAGTGATCTACGCACCAGCCAGCTATTGATGTCGGTCCGATGCTAGCTTAGGGGGCAAAATCTCAATCAGACATCCCTGATTTATTTATACGATCAGCAGGAATTTGAATAAAAAGGTCGTTAGTCCGCGTAATTTTGACCATATTACTACAAATGTTGGCCACCCGTCACAGTCAACATTACATTGAAACATTAAAAAAAAATTAAATTTTTGCCCTTCCCAGCTATCGCTGAAACATTTTCGAAATTTTTGCCCCCTCCCCGGTGAATGGTTAAAGACATTCAAAATTTTACCCCTGCCCCGCGTAAAATTTGTCTAAATCAACCACTGGATGCACGTTACGTTTTAGTTGCAGGGCCACGTAGCTCCAGCAGATATTTTTAATGGTCATCTTTTAGATCGAAAACAATTTACCTGAAAATATGTTTACAAAATAAACCAAATACAAATAGTTATAAAAATTATACGCTGATGCACATTAACTATGCGTTCTCGTGTCCCTACATGAACGCCACATTAACCAACCTGTAGATAACAGAGCCAGCTGCAAATCGCCGCCATCGCACCCCGAGAAAAACATCATCCTAATTCCGAGTATCCATTATAGTCCATTTGTGTTGGAAGCTTCATTTAGATGCTCCGTGCTCAACCCACGTGCTCAAACGAACTGCAGAGCCAGCGTGTCCTGGATCTGGGGTGATACGACATTCTCTACGAAGGAGATAAAAACGAATGCCACTGACTACGTAATAACGGAGACGCTTCAACTGCCGATGGATTTAACTGAAAGGTTGAAGCACAACGGTACGAAAGTTAAGTTTCGAATTTCCTTCAAATGCGACTTAGGTGATCATCGTGCAACAAGAGAGACAGAATATGTTGATGTCTTCAGCTCGGATCCTCTCATCATTGAAGGTCGGTCAGTTTTACTAAATGTTTTCCCGAAGAAAGTTTGTTGAGCGATAAAATTATAAATATGAAAAACCAAATTTGATAAATTGATACAAATATAATTGACTGAATTGATCGATGTCTCTCTCTCTCTCTCTCTCTCTCCTTCCTCTCTCTTCTCTCTGTGTGATTTGAGTGCATCAATGGGTCTGTATCAATTAGATCTGAAAAAGTTTAATGATCTGAACTCTGAACTCGATTAAAGGAAGGCCAAATTGTAAGCAGAAATTATCATTTTTCATCACTGCATTTGATGATATATAAATTAAAATGTACAGTTTATTACAATTAACAATGCAATGAGATTGTTCTGATTAAAAGTAGGATATGATTCAGGTAATTGAAACGATTTCGCCAAAAAAAGTTTCCCACGCCAGCCAATCGCAGATAACAGATCCAGAGTCAGAGTCACCGACTAGAAAACAACCAAATGCGTGAATGTTAATTTATATAACAACCCACAATTATATTATAATAAGTATGGCTTCTAATTCAGCCCAAGTTTCTGCGCAGTGCGACGTTGTATTTAAATATAATATTATATAATGCAATATAAGATAATATAATATAATATTGATATTAATAAAAGTATAATTTAATAAGGGTCATTTCATTTTTGAACTTTGAAATAGTATTTTGTTAATTATTTTAAACGGCAAGCAGCAGTTGTCGTCACAATTTTAAAAGTGGATCGTTTGAAATATATTTCGACAGTGCCGACAACGACGACGACAATCGCCCCGTCAACATCGTCAGCTGCATGGCAGACCGCAGACACAAAGAAGATTTCTGAAGCTGAATGTAGCTAAGACTTATCAACTATTTCAAAAATATTCAGAAAAATTAAACTAAATCAAACAGCCAATGTTAACGACTACTACATATTTGTTACCAATTTCGTTTCAGCGAATTATATAGAGCAGTTACGCGATATAAATAAATTCAAATACATTTCACTCTTCTACATATAAGAAATCTTTTTATTTAGAATTATCCAACTTCCTAGCTACGATTGTGAATTTTATTTATATTTTTAAATAGCTGAGGCCAGTACTCAAAATGGTATGACCACGACGACAATCGTCTTCACCACCTTCATCGTCTTCCTCGTCATCTTCTTCATCATCGTCGCCATCTTCGGCATCAGAAAATTTTTGGCAGTCAGGAGGAGGCAGAAAGACGCACGTTGGTAACTAATAGCCACACATACCCACGCACACTCACACACTCACACACACACAAACACCCACATACACACATACACTCATATATAGAAATACACGCACACGTACATATTTTATCAAGCACACATTCTCTTTCTCTCTCTCTCTCTCTCTCTCTCTCTCTCTCTCTCTCTCTCTCTCTCTCTCTCTCTCTCTCTCTCTCTCTATTTCTTTATCTCTATCTTTAATTTTTCTCACTTAATAATTATATTAATACAATTTTAAAAACACTTATTAAACAATTATACAAAGGGCATATACAAACTTCAACCACATCACTTCCTCCACTACCACTATGACAACCAGTGGCGTATCTGGACAATGTTGACGGGGGAAGTGGCCAAAATTTAAAATTTGACGGGGCTTAGGCAAAAAGTTAAACAAATTTTCGCCATTGTGACCAAAATTAGGCTGACAACCTTTAGCCCCAACCCCCCAGATCCGCCACTGACGGCCACCACTTCTACGGCCACCACATCTACGACTACCACACCACCACCACTACCACCACCACCACCGCCAGTAGCTTCCTTCCAGCCACAGATGAGTACTACTACCGATATAATCTCCCCGACGATGTCGGAGAACATAGTGTACAAGCGAATCCCAATTTCAGAGGAGAATTCTTACGACATGCCAGCCAGCAAAACCAACAACATCAACAACTCTGTCAACAACAACAGCAGCAGCAGCAACAACAACAACAACAACAACATGGATTTTTTTCCTTCTACCCCAATCCATCCTACTTCTCCCCTACTCACCCATCCATTCCCCTACCTCCAATCCCAAATTCCTCATCATCCCAGTCCTTTCGCTCCAATTCCGATCAGCGGTTTGCCGCCGGTGGACTTGACTACAACTACCACCAACAGCAACAGCAGCAACTACAACAACATCAACTTCAACAGCAGCAGCAACGATTTTGACGACGTTGTAATGGATTATAAAGATATTGAGGCGAATAGAAGTCAGGCAGAGACAGGCACGTACAAAGCGGATGAGATATACGATCAGATAGATGACAGACACTTGAATGATGACGAAGGTTTGAACGCTACAAAACATTCTGCCGCCACTAACGCAACCTCCATCTCCACAAGCCCGCTGCACATTCCAGCCTCATCATCTGAAATTTTTAACACTATACGTAATTTTTGCCCTGAAAATGGTTATAACGGTAACAACATCAACCACATTCACAACAAAATGAGAAAAACTTCGCTATCGTCTGCCTCGCCTTCAATCGTCCTCCCATCACCATCAACAAATATTCGCAGCCCGTTTCAGCAACCGCATCAACTACATTTACAACAACTACAACTGCAACAATTACAACAACAGCAACTATTGCAACAGCAACAACTACTACTACAACAGCAACAAAAACAACTTCTGCAGCAAAAAATTCAACAGCATCAACAAAAGTTCATGACAACTGACCCAACAAAACTCGACTACTACTACATGATGCATCCACCTCACCCACCACCCCTGCCACAATGTGAACCTTCGCCATTGACTGCTGCTGCTGCTAATCAAGATGTCTACCTTGTTCCAGATGATAAACTGAACGAGAAATGATGATGATAATGGTGACGATGATAATAATAATTATAACGCTGGTGATAACCATGATGATGAATATATATATATATATATATATATATATATATATATATATATACATGTATATATATATATTCATCATCATTATATGTATAAATTAATATATTATAGGTATATATATATATATATATATATATATATATATATATAGTAATATAAGATATTACTATATATATATTACAATATAGAAAAATCCTAGATAATTATTTCCTGATAATAAAAATAGTAATGATGGTGATGATGATGATGATGATAGTGATGATGATGATGATGATGGTAATAATAACCATAACAATAACACCAACAATTATAAAATTTTTTACGACAATCCCATGATACAACTGCAAGCAATTGAACAATTCACGTCCCGTTATCATTATCATTATTATTATTACGTTAATATGTAATTATAATTATTTTGTTGGTGTTAATTATATTATTATTGTTAGTATGTTAATTATTGTTAGTGTAGTTGTTCTTTGTTAGAACGCTGATAGCATTGAAGAGATAGAAGAAATAGGATGCAATTATCTAGCATTGAAGTAATTGATGTGAGAACAAACAACCAGGCTTCTTGTATGTTAGTACGCCTATGTATGTGATTATGTTTGTTTGTATGTGTGAGTATGTGTGAGTATGTGTGTGTATGTATGTGTGTATGTATGTGTGTCTGTATGTATGTGTGACTGTATATGCGTGTTTCCGTCAATTTATGCACTTATGCATGTATAATGTATAGACATGTATTGTTGTTGTATTCAAATGCACGTATGTGTCTGTGTGAAGAGGTATGTATGTACGTGTGCCTGTGCCTGTATGTGATATTGTGTAATTTTGTATGTGTGAACGTGTTGCTAGTTTATTTTCTCGGGTTATAATTATTTTCGATTTCATTTCCCCAAAAGATGCGCCCGCCAATTTTAATTCGATGTTTTCATTTGTTTTTGAGTCAAGTATGTTATCACATGACAATTATTGTCTATATGTATGTGTATGTGTGTTGTGTCTCTGTGTGTGTTTGTCTGTGTGTGTGTTCGTGTGTTGTGTTTGTGCGTGTTCGTGTTTGTGTGTGTAGATAAATACCCAAGGTAAAATTCAATTATATTTGTTCACACATTAATGTGTAAATAAAACTTGTTAATAATAAATGATTATTAGATTACAATTAATTAATTAACTAATGAGTTAATTATTAATATTTAATTGTGATATATATATGATATTATTATTATGATACGATATTTAACTAAGTATTGTTAGCTAAAAGGATGTTTTTTTATTCATTAATTTTAATTTTATATACTGACGACGAAGACGATGATGATGACGAAGACGACGATGATAAAAAAATTATGATGATGAAAATACTTTGATGATGATGATGATATTCTTCTTACTAGGATATCGTAAATGCACTTTCATAACGACATCCGTTTATCTATTTATGTTGTTTATAATTAATTATTTAATAACTACACTTAAATAAGTGTCCGTGGGTATGTGTGTGTGTGTGATGTACACACACACACACGTACACTCATATATATATATATACATATATATATCTATACATATATATTTATACATATATATATATATATATATATATATATGTATATATATATATATAATTATACACACACACACGTACATTTATATACATACACACACATTCACACATACATATGTGCACACAGATATTTTTTGTACAATTGAAATGTAAATATGGCCTTGACATTCTTTTGCTATTTTTACGTCATCATTCTTTTAATTGGTCTTTAATTTGACGGTTTTTTATGTACTTACGAATAAACAAATATATTTACAGTATAATTTCAATTATAATATAATTAATAATAAAATAAATAATAGAAATAGTTGAAAAATACTTAGTAAATGATTACTTTATGATAGATTATATTAGTCCTAAATAAATGAAAAAACTTATTGTATACTTTATATATATACAATATTATGTAAATATTTTTTTTGCATATATATATATATATATATATATATATATATACGCATGTTTGTGTGTGTGTGTTTGTGATTTTGTGCGTGTGTGATTTTTGACAAAAATTTATATTTTCGATTTTTCAATGGCAATATTCAAGTGGTTATAAATTCGTAATAATAAAAGATGTTCAACGAATGTGAGTTTTATCTTAACGTATCGGGCATTAAACTATGCATTCTTTTCATCCATCCATGAATTCATTTTTCATTCATCCGTTCATACATTCGTTCATTCACTCGCCCATTTGTTCGTTCGTTTATCCATTCATCTATTCGCTCGTTCCTTCTTCCGTCATTTTTTCTTTATTCATTCATTCACTCAATCGTCTTTTTCATTCATTCATTCAATCATTTAATCATTCAGTCATTCATTCACTCATTCAGTCATTCATTCATTCATGCATTCATTCATTCAATCGATAGCTAGCTTCCTGAAGGACTCCTGCGGTATGGCATCCTGTTTCTTTGGCATCTTCTTCTCGTCGATTTTGTACTTTTCATGACTGGCTTCCAGCACGTACTTTCGATTCGATTCCTCACTGATCACTTTTTTCCAATAAGCTGAGGTTGATGATGAAGAATAAAAAAAGATGATGATGAAGAAAAGATAATGACGTTCTGATGATGTTGAAGGTGTTGTAGATATGCTTGATATTGTTTCTTTTATATTACATAACGTTAATTCCATTAGAACACATCACAAAATTATTTAATTTTTTTTTCAATAATTAGGTAAACCTGTATATTAGCACCCACCAAAATACCTGTTATCTCGCTGACGGATCCGGCAGACGGTCCGTTGTAGTCATCTGGAAGGTACTCTGTCGGCCAGAACTCCATCGGTATCACCTTGTATAAGCTCTCCATGGTTTCGTGTATTTGTATCTGAAATACAAATTGCAATACCGCAACTGTTGTAAACCAAATTTGGTTTTCTGTAAACGTAAACCAAATTTTAACACCAAAACTAAAATGGGTTTTTTTTACAACAGAAAGATTTTCATGTGTTTGAGTTGCAACTTTTATTGTACAAATTAGGTAGACTTCCAATGTATAAAAAAAACGTTAAAAAATGTTTGTATTGATTTAATGAATTTTGAATAATCATAATTTATCTTTTTTTTTGCAAAACCATAATTAATAATTATAATAATACAAATTTTTCGAAACAGTTTTCATACAAAGCATGCAATCAAATCGTAACTAAATGTAAAGAATGTATTATACGTGTGTGTGACGTAAAACATGTAATATAATAAAATGTAACGTGACATAATTATGACGTCATGCAATATAGATATGACGTCATGTAATATAAAAATTATCTCATATAGCGTGAATATAAAGCCAGGTAAGACAAACATGTTGTAACGTAACGTAAACATGACGTAACGTAATGTAAACGTGACGTCATGACGTAACGTAATGTAAACATGACGTCATGCAATGAACGTACTACGTACAAACCCTCTCTTGATTCTTTTTCTTCATGAACTGCTTAACAGTCGTTAGAAAGAACTCCAAAATAGGACCGGGGTTATAGAAGATGAAGGCCTTTACTCTTTCCGGAGTGCAATCCTAGATTAAAAATATTTATGATAAATTATTTAAAAATGGATTATTTTTTGAGTGGAGTTTATATTTAAATAATTAATAATTACATACAGAGTAATTAATTAAAATTCAATAGATTAAAAGAATTTGTTGAAGTAGTACAACGTGGTGATGCAAAAAATGTAATGAACTGTAATCATTTTGTGTATTGTAATCGTAATGTATTATAATTTAATATGATGAAATGTATTGTGATGTAATGTGATGGGATGTGTTGTAACTGACTGACCTGCCAAATTTTTGAATGTATCTTACGTTCTTCAGAATTTCGTTTCGTCATCTGTTTCATAGTTGCCTACGAAATGTTGAACGTGTTGTGTGGAGTAGTAGTAATTTATACGTTACTGACTACTTAAATTACTTGAATTTTTATTATACTATTACTATTATTTCTTTGAATTTCTATTAGTTCTATTACTTTTTCTATTATTATTAATGCTTGATTTACCGTAGTGTTATTCTCTTGCGATATAAGTATGCTTTCAGGAGCATTTTTTTTCCAAAAAGTTATTATCTCAATGTGGTTTGAAGTTAATGGAATATTAACAAAATTGTGTCTACAATTCGCTTGCGTTACGTTCTAACAAGAATCCATTATATTCATTTAGAACCATGACGAAGTAAGCGTTCATCAACTTTTGTTTAGATGTGAACCTTTCTTAACCGAATTTTTTTTACATAAAATACTGAAAATGGGACAACTAAAAATTAAATTTTCTGTGTTATTCATAACATTCTTCATAATACCAATGAACTGAAAAGAGAATGAACTAACTCCAGTAAAATCGAACATCAGCATGATTCCATTGACGGTGATATTCTCATCCAGGTGCCTCCTCAACTCCCCGATGGCGAGCCCCATCCTCACCTCCACGTGGTGCCCGAAATTTGGATCATCCATGTCAGGGACTTTGCCTGCGTGTGTTGGTGAGATAGTAGCAGAATCGAATTGAAAATTTTGATAACTTCAAATTGGCCGATTGGAGTTACCAGCGATTTGAACTTGGAACTACAATCTCAAGATTTTAGAACGGTAGAGAGGAATAATGAATGGTTACTTTCAATATTAATATTACTTTATAATATATAATTTGTGTAAATATCATTATCCTATAACTAGTTTAATGGTAATGTGACCTGGTCGGATGATGACAAGCGATCTGCCTTCGTGGTCTTTCTTTGGACAGTAGACGATCACACTGAGGATAAAAAAAACGCAGAAAACTTTGTTGAAAATCTAATCAAGCTATAATGGTTGACTGATTTACTAATTTTGAAAAGCCAGAAAAACATTAATAAGGGATATAGTTGTACTATTTTAAGTATTCTTGACTATTTTAATACTTTTTAATCACCCTTCTGAACAATAGTAAATAACAAAAAGCCTTATGTAAAAATACACCAAATAAGATTAGAATATATCGGGATTGCCAGGGCTTTATCTAAACTTGAAACACCCCACAAAAAACAGCTTTTCCCACACCCACCCTGCATCAAGCATGGTTCTGAAGGCAGGCTCCTTCAAGTCCAGGTTTGACATCAAGTTCGGGTACTTTGTCTTCATGGTCAGCATGTTTTCAATGAGTTCCCTGGCTACCAGCTGACTGAACTTTGACCGACGAAGAATTGTCAATAGGAATTGCGTGTCTGTTGATGGGAAAAAATGAAAACATTTGAGTGTTGTTCATTTAGACTGAAAAAATGAATGTTTTAAATATTTTAAATGGGTTGATGATGCTACTGCTAAAAATTTTAAAACAAAATGTCGAAATATATTAGAATTCAGTTAAGTTAAGACAGGTGTGTTGATGAGATGATCTGATCAATAAGGTGAATTTGCATATGTGAGTCAGTTTTGTGTAGTACGGTTTGAAGCTGTGAGAGGTGAACGTTACATACGCTCAAATCTAAGAATAAAATCTCGATTTTGTTGTTATTTTAAAATCTTTCGAAAAATATTTTAAATGATTTTTTCATTATTTCGTCATAGTTTAACTTTTTGAGATGAGTTGATTCAAGGTTCTGTACGTACGTACGTACATCATCATTTAAAAAATGCTTATCTTACGTTGCGATTCAGAAGACATAAAATGCAGTAATGATAAATAGACAACAAATAACAACGACATAATTAACCAGTAAAACTAATATCACCAACATTACCAACAAAACAAACTCCCAGAAACAACAACAACAACAACAGCCACAAAAGTACAACTACAAACTAACACACCAGTTCTGCACGTGAGGTGAGGCTGCTGTTTGATCCACTTCCTCAATGTCTGTACGGCTCCTATCCTCTGTTTCGGATCTTCATTCAATTCCTTTTTGGCCTGTCACAATTTTCATTAAAAATTTTTGATACATTTCACATTGTGTGGCATAATTCAGGGTTAGGAGATTGTGTTGTGGTTAAAAGTTCGGGATTATGAGTTGTAGTTATCATATTCGAATTGAGTATAGTTAACTGGGATCAAAGTGACCCCAGTTAACTATACTCAAGAAATGCTCGATACGTTCATTCACGTGTTTCAGTCAAACTGCACTGCTGTGCGTGTAGTACTTCGAACCAGAAAATCACGCAACAAATCGTCATCATCTTTAACTTAGAAATTATGAGACAGAAATAGATTAATGTCTGTAGTACAATTGAAATAGTTTGAAAAAAATTCTTCTTAACCTTTTCTAAACTCTGTGGAGTTAATCCACAAACATATTTGGCATCATCTGCATCCATTTGGTCGAAGGACACGATATATTTTAACGATCGTCCCAATTAATGAACCAGAAACAATGCAGTAAATTAAAAGAATTTAAACGAATTCGCACTAATTACTTTATTAATTCATCTACAAAAATTAAACACAAGATTAAGGAATTAAACTTAATAATGTTCTCAAAAATTCTCAATAAAGATCCCGATAGATCTGTTACATAGTCTCATACATACATTGTCTCGTTGTACTCTGCTATATGCAGGCACATGTATGTAGGTACAAACAATCAATCAAGGTGTTTTAAAGCAATTGAACACCTTTTGTCAACTGAGTATACAAAGCATACACTCTTTTTCTCTCGCTCTCTCTCTCTCTATATATATATGTTATTAACATAAGCAAAATGGTTTGATACACACACACATATTTATACTTATTTATGTGTGTGTTAAGTAAACAGTCGTTATATTTTATCGTTTATCAATGCTAATTATCTGAGCATATGATGCTTATAATCTTGCAAACACACATGTTAACCTTAATAAACTTCATCAGGATGATAAGTCTTGTTAGAAAAATTGAGAAACTCAACTACAAGTTGAATAATGCCGAAAATGCAGTTATCTTCATAAATAATTGTATTTGTGATAGTCTAAACCCAAAATATATATAAATATATACATTTATTTATAATTACATATTTGTTGATTAATTAAGCTGTGTATACCCATTACATATATTAAATTTTACGCTTAAAATGTTTTGTTTAGATGGATTCATATCCTTTACAATTGGGATTGCCTGGAATGTATAGTAGTGTAGCGAGCATTTAATATTAAATCACATATACGTATATGTATCTAACCTACTAACTGTAGATTAATTCAATATAATATGATAAGGTGTGCGTGCGTGTATCGGCCTGAAGTGTTCTACATATTACGTAAGTTAAAAATGCTCAATACAAGTTTATTCTTACTGATTCTCCAGCCTATAGACTAATTCTTATCTAATCAACGGACGCGTTATATAATATAATACATATAACAAAAAGTACCAAAAAGTATTATTAGTGTTATATTATGTGTGAGTGTAGTTTGTAATACATTGATTGGACCAGGTGTCGTATTGGCACATTAGCAAGTAAGCATACCAAAAAACAACTAGTACCAAAAAATTAATTTATTTATCAATTTCACTATACGCTAACGAGATGAAGGAGAGAAAGAGAGTGAGAAAAAGAGAGAGACAGACACACACACACACGCACACACACAGACACAGACAGACAAGCAAATAACTAAGAGTAAATACAAATGAAATGAAATGATTTTTATAGAACATTTAATGATTTAAATTCAAAATACGATACAAAAAGTGCATGTAAGTGATATGAAAGAGAAAACAAATAAACAGTGAATTGAAAAATACTAAAACGAAACAAATTTTAAAAAAAGTAATTTATCGAAGCAAAATACTTGAATATAGAATAGAATAGATTAGTATAGAAAAGAATAGTGTACAACCATCAGTTTAGAGGAAGATAAAATTTAAACAAAGAAAAAAAAAAAATTTTTCCAAAAATTTTTTCAACTTTAAAACAAACAAATCCGGAAAAACATTTTTTGTAACAGAAAATTTAACTAAACGAAAAATTAAATATAATTGTATGGAACAATAACAACAGCAATGATGATGATAGTATTACAAATACTGTTTTTCATATAATTATCAATATTATCACTACTTATGTATCAAAGAGTAATTATACTAAATGATACTACATTAAGATAGCGAGTGATGATATCAAACGGAGGAAAAAATGTTAAAAACAAAACATGATATATTGATTGATATATGATACAAATGATTGAAGTGATAGTATGATAGTATTATAAAAGAATTTTAATCCAGAAATACTAAACAACAAAAACCAACAAAAATTAATAATTTTGCAATGAAAGTTATAAAATAATAATAATAATATCAATAATACCGTTATCATAACGAGATGCCTGTCACAATGTGATGATCAAAATGAACAGCGGTAATGTAAAATTTATAAAATAATTGATAAGAAAGATTCCTAAATACGATGACAATTTACAATAATTATAATATAATAACAACTATAATAAAATAATAATAATTATGACATAAAATTATAGAGATAATTTATTATTATTTTCTTTTTATTTCAATTTCCTCCACTGAAAGCTTCGGATGGATTCGAGTCAGTGAAGAAATAGCATTAGCGATAGCCTGCGATGTAAATAATCGTATGTTTATGGTATGTTTGAAGTAGCTTAACCAACAAGGCGTTTGGTTCTGATGTTGCACTGACCGGCTTCGAATGTGAAAAGATTCCTCATATCACATGCAATGTATGTGATGCGTGAACTCACGCATATTAAGAAGCGCTCGATAATTTAAAATAAATTAATAATTTTATTAATGTGTGTGTGTGTGTGTGTGTATGTATGTATGTATGTATGTATGCATTATGTATGTATGTATGTATGTATGTATGTATGTATGTATGTATGTATGTGTGTGTGTATGTATGTATGTGTATGTGTGTGTATGTATGTATGTATGTATGTATGTATGTATGTATGTGTGTATGTATGTATGTATGTTAAACAAGGTTATAACTTCTTCCTCGTCACATTTATCTTCAATGATCAGCGTCTTCTCTATGACAGTCTCAATTAAAGAATCGTCTTCTGGGTTTCTTACCTTTTTTTTTGTATTTTACAACAAACAAAATAAAAATAATTTAATTAAAAGCAATTAATTAAATAATTAATTAACAATTTTTATATTTTAGAATTAGAAATTAAAAAAAACTTAACTTTTAAAAGGGGTTAATTAAATAATTAGATTAATTAAATAATTAATTAACCTGGGTTATTTTAAATCCGCCAGGCGATTCGAAAAACACGTGGCGTGGCGATGACGTCAGCGTTTGAAGAGGAGGTATTGATGATGATTGCTGATACTGTAATGGAAACGATGTGGATGGAGCGTATGGAAATGATGATGATGATGATGCACATGGCTGTAGTAAGTTGTCATATTCGCCATTACTATCATCGTTATTATCATATGATTGTTGTTGCTGCTGCTGTTGTAGTAGTAGTTGTTGTGGTGGCGATAGTAGCAGCTGTTGCTGCTGATGTTGATAATGATGTTGTTGATTTTGTCGTCGGCAATATTGGAGGTAGGAGTGGCTGTCGTAGTAATAGTCATTCATGTTAGCGTGGTTTGTTCTTGTTCTGTAGTTGTAGAGGTTGTCGTAACTACCGTAGCTGTCGTTATTATTATTATTATTAATGTTGTTGTTGTTATATGATTTACTGGAAAGTTGAGTGAAATTATTATTTTTATTGTTTCTGGTGGTGTTGTTGTTGTTGTTAATGTTGGTGTTGATGTTGTTGATGCTATCAGCTTCAACGATGTTGTCATATATCCCCTGTTCGAATTAGTCATAAATAAAAATATTCACCAAACATAAAGAGCATCTATCTATACAACCAATTCATCAATTCATCATCCATTTGTCTATCCATTAATGCATCCAAGTTATCCATTCAATAATCCATTAATCCATCCTTCCATTTATTCCTTTATTCATTTTCTATTCATTTGACCGCCCATCTATTCATTCATTCACCCATCCAGTCATTCATTTACCCATCTAGCACGAATGATAACTAACTCCAGGTTCACTCAGCAGACTGTTGTTATCCAGGTAGGCAGTTATTACAATGTTCTTTCTACCTTTGATGTCTTTGGATAGCTCCTTAGGTGATTTGGGGTTTCCCCTTGTGGATTTCCTATCAAACTCGTACGGATTTTCCTTTTTCCTATTTATAGATGGCGTAGTTGCTTTTGTAGTTGTGCTTGATGATTGTTGAATGTTTCGGCTTTCCAGTTGGGTGTTTCCAGATTTTGGCCTTGGTTTGAGTTGCAGTGATGGCGGGAGAGGTGGTCTTGAATGGAGAGATTGTAGCTGTTGTTCATTTTGTTGCTGAGACTGTAATTGATGTCGTTGCTGTTGATGTTGCTGGTATTGTTGAGCTGGTCCTCGCTGATCTTCAACATATAAATGTTGTTGTTGCTGCTGCTGAATGTTGAAATGTTGCTGATGTCTCCCCGATGCACATGTGCGATTTTTGTAGAATGCTTGTTCTCGTTGCTCTTGATATTTTTGTTGCTGGCATTGTTGAACTTGATCCTGATACATTTGTGGTTGTGGTCTATGAAATTGTTGAATTTTGTCATGAAATGGATGTTGCAGCAGTCGAGGAAGACCATTTTTGCCTGTTGAGTGTGTTGAGGTTTGACAATCAAGTAAATTACCATCATATTGTTGTTGTTGTTGCTGCTGGTGTTGTTGCAGTTTCAAAAAGTCAGTTTTAGTTTGCGCTTGTGGCGGTTCAGTGAGTCGCTGATGACGACAATGTGCATCATTTCGTTGCAAACATTGTTGCTGCTCTGCTTGTAACTGATGTTGTTGTTGCTGATAGTTGAGTAGTTGCAAATTTTTTTGACAGTGCTGTTGTTTTTTAGGCCAGGTTTTGTTTTCATGAGGAGGATATTGTTGTTTATATTCCATAGGAACACACTTGAAATGTTCAGGCTGTAAGGTTTGCTGGTGAGATAAATTCTGCCGAAATTCATTTTGAATTTCATGAGGAATATTTTCATGCTGTGTGATGCATTCTTGCTGAAACTGCTGTGGCCAGTGCTGCTGATGTAGCTGCTGTAGTTGTTGGTGCAGTCGCAATTGCGGCTGCTGTTGATGTGGTTGTAGCTGCTGTTGTGGTTGTAGCTGATGTGGCTGCGATTGTAGCTGCTGTTGTTGATAAGGCAGAACTATCTTACCTGTCCTGTATACATTCCTTCTCAAATTATCCACAGATGATATTTTTGCTCTTTCTGTCATCTGAATGTTTTGAATTTAAAATGCCACTTAATTAAGAAAACCTCGACATTTAATTTGAAGTTTCAATCATATAAATAAAAACAGACTCAATTTAACTTAATAAAAAAACACAGTTAATAAGCAAAACCTGAATACAGATGGGTCTGTAATTTTCAACCTCCGTAAGTGAGTGTCGTTGCAACAAAAAAGTGTTGCTGCAACTGCTGACGTTGTTGCAAATTCCGAAATAATCGTCGTTACTTTTTGTTGCAGAAACACTCTTACAGCTGTAGGTGTTGTTGTTGAACGATGTACTCCTACCGACGACATTGTAAATATTTTTGTTGCTGTAGTTGTCGGAATTTTTGCAGCTGTTACTTCGTTTTGTTGAACTTTTCAAGTTGTTGCTGTTGTTGCGAAAATTGTTGTTGAAAGAATGTGGTTGTTGATGCTGTTGCAAATTATGATCGACATCTTCACCGTTAAGATTGTTGCTGGTTTGATGTAGTAGTTGTTCATCTATTGATAATTGTTGTCGTTTTGCGTCGTTGCTGACGAAGCTAGCGCAATCCTTGCCGCAACTACCACCACCACCACCACCTGTAGTAAAATTCTTTGATTTGTGGTAGCGACTGATTTTGTTGCTGTACAGTTTACTTTTAAATTTTCCTTTTCGGCCGGCATTCAAATTTGGTTTTATCCTGAAAAATTAGAAAATTTAAATAAACACACACACACACACGCACGCACACACACACACAAAGAAAGTAATGAAAACAGCAAAAAAAAGAAATGAAAGTGCATAAATGATAGCAAGGCACGACCTGAAAAAAGAATGGTGTCCAACTGCTAACTTCCAAAACATTTTCGCCTCTTTGGTGTGCTTAAACTTCAAAGTCATCAATTTGTTGCCATTGTTCGCCTGATTCAACATCAAAAAAGTTATTCATCATCATCTAAAAAAACGTCATCTTTCTACTCATCTTCGCGTCGTCCTCACTGTCATAATCTTTCATCTATCTAATCATCATCCTAATCATCCCAATCGTCATCATCCATTTTTCACAATCATTAAAATCCCCTCACAATCACCACCATCACTCCCATAATTATCATCACAGCTACCATCGTCACCATCGTCACAAACTCCATTCTGCCTGTATAGTATGATGAATTTGTTCCTCTTATATGCGATCTTCAGCAGTCTGGGCCACGTCAACTTCGTGGTCCTAATCTCGCCGCTACAGTCATACACGGACAGCCCTAACCAACAGAGGCACAATTCCACGGGATTACCACCTTCATTCTGTCGTTTAAGATGTAATGTGGTGTGTGTTTAAGGGGGTCCAGTGAATAAATTAACATTATTTTTATTAGTGATTCTATTATTATTATTATAAAATTTTGAAAAATCTATAAATTGACCACCACCACTAAACATCTGAGAATGAAAATTTGTAAATTCAATAAACGACCTCAATAAATAATACAACAACTAAAGAAAAAACAAAAGAAGCAACAAAAGCAACCACAACAGCAGCAGCTATAGCAACCACAACAGCAACCAAAACAGCAGCAACAGCAACAGCAACCACAACAGCAGCAACAGCAACCACAACAACAGCAACAACCTCAACGTAGCAGGTATGCATTCCGTATCTAGCCACTTTAGAAACGTTACTCAAGTAATTATTAGTGGCCTCTTCTCTCGACTGGCCCCTGGTAACAAACAAATAAATATATAATGAAGAATTAAACTTTTTTGGCAGCGTTTTCCACGCAGCCATTCTAGCGCGAAAACTCAAACGGAGGAATGATATGTAAGAAGTTTTCTATAATAAAGAACAAAAATAATAAAAACGGTACAATATTATTAACAGTAATACTTGAATATTTGTTTTTAATATGTTTATATACTATTTGTTTTAATATTTTATTAAAATCAAGCCCGACCTATGAACTTTGTAAAGGTCAAACACTTTGGACCAGAGTTCAAACTTCAGGGAATCAAATTTCTTCGGGATTTCCAGCTTCTTAACATTCTCATAGGCATCCAATTCATAATCACCCATCCGGTTTTTCCAATCCGGTGACATCTTTAAACATTCCGGAAATTTCGAAGTGGGAAAATCCCAGTCACCGTACTCAATTTGAGCTTGGTAGGAGAGTAAGAGCGATTGAGTTGCAAACGAACAGGACACTCTGCGTTGCATTCATTTACGTGTAATGTGTATAGTGTAGTGGGAGTGACGCAAGTAAAAGTAGTTAATCTGAGTGACGTCATTAATCTGAGTGACGTCATTAATCTGAGTGACGTCATTTGTAATAGTAACGTGTATAGCATAGATGAGTTTACTATTTAACTAGTAATGAAAAATAGTATTGAAAGTACTATTATAATTATTGCTGTTACAATATTTAATAATATTTTTATATTAATATTGTTATTATTTAACGTTTTATTTAGATATATATCATTATCTTGAACTATTAAGATTTTATCATGGATTCTTCGGGCAATAAGAGTTTCCACTACGAACCTGCCTTCGGAAACATCTTTAACGATTTGCTGGTACATAAGATTCCTGCATTAAATAAAAACAAGAAAGCGAATTTGTAACATGATAAATAATAATAATTAATAAGAACAATAACAACAACAATAATAATAATAACAATCACTATCATCGTCATCATCATCACTAACTTGATGACCTCATTCTTAATCTCGTGGGGACTGTCTGGGTAATATTTAACCTTGAACTTCAAATAACAAGGTTGACCTAATTTTGGGTTAAAAAATATTTGGTCGAATAATAATAATATTATTATTAATAAATAAAAATAATAAAAACGACAACGATAATAAACAAGACAGATGGGGTATTACTCCAATTAATTTACGACTTTTAAAAGCGCAAATACCTCTAAGAAAACAAAAGAAAATAGGAAAAATAAATAATAATAATAATAACCACAACAACAATCAGATAACAAGAATTACAACAACATCTTAAAATAACAGCAACAGCAATAATAATAATAACAATTATGACAACAATAACAGCAAAAAACATCAAAGATCACTTTTGATTTGTTGTGAGATCTGCTTATCGTGGATCAGCCAAACCTTGAAGCAATTGTTAAAAACGTACATTTACATTTTCGCATATATCTTTGCCTATTTGTTTATATTACCCTGTATGTCTGCATATAAATTTTGCGTTTATTCGTATTTATGATTGTATATATTTTGATGTAATTTTTGTATGTTTGTGTTTATATTTTGTTTGTTGGTTCATATATTTGTTTATATCTTTGAATATTGTTTTTATATCTATGTATATGTTTCTATGTATTTATTTTTGTATGTTTGTGTGTGTTTATATTTTGTTTGTTGGTTCATATATTTGTCTATATCTTTGAATATTGTTTTTATTTCTATGTATTTGTTTGCAAGCCTGCAATCAACGCTCTAAATCATTACACACACATGTGCGCAAATATAAACATACATAAAATATGTTATATACATACATACATACATACATACAAACAAACTTACATATAGTACTGTATATACATTGTAGTATTATTGTATAATTGTTACTATTACTTCACAACAATTTACAATGTTTAACAACGAAAAAGATTTCTTTTCCATTGTTTATACGCAAGTAAATCATTCTATATTGGGGAAAATAAATAAAAATAAATAATACGAAAAAAATATATGAAAAAATAAAGAAAAAGAAATTTATTTACCGGGCTGCAGATGGAAAATAAACTCATAAGCACAAACACAGCATGCATTTGAAATATAATACATTAATACATCATATGCCATATCGCCGTATTTGATAACCTTTATAATGAAAAAAGTTTTTTTTGCATTTCAATTTTTATTTTTCGCTGCGTTATATCTTAAAAATTTTAGTACAAAAATTCGATTTACTGCTGCTACTACCTCTACTACTTCTACTGCTACGACAACCAAGTCTGTGACTACCAAGTCGTAGTAGTAGTAGCAACAGCTAATACTATTACTATTGCTACTACTCTTACTACATACAGAACAGCGGAACAGTTATTGAAACGAAATAAGATGCGTGAATAGAAGAACAATAACAACGACGACGTAAATACTATAATTACATTACAAGATGCTACTCCACACGTGTGTGTGTATCTACATGTACGTATGTGTGTTAGTACTAACATATTTATCAGTAGTACTATCAAAGTAGGTGCACGAGAAGTAGCAAGGTTCGTTGTCATGAGGTCCACAGCCGCTGTTTATCTGCAAGTACTTGTATATCCTGTTAATCAGGGCTTGACCTTTGCTAGACTTCTGAAAGTTCAAGGTTAAGGTCAATGATTCAACGATGACGATGATATCATTGTTGACGATGATGACGGGTTTTAAATGATTAAAATAATAATAACTGGTGGTGATACTGCAAAAGATATCTGTTATCAACACTATCATTATTCACTCCTTTCAAGTACTACTACAGTGTGGTGATGTGAATGATGAGAATTTCAATTAAAAGGCAATACATCAAAAACCAGAAATACACATGCACACACACACACACACACAAACTCACGCACATACAATACCGGCATACCATACCAAATATGTAAACAATAAATGACTCATGCTAAAATTATATGTACATACAAAAACTACACATACAAAACAGTGCAATAGCGTATTGTACATATATGTATGATCTCAAACACACATACACACGCACGCACACGCACACACATACACACTATTACCCAATTAGTGTTCATTATTAAAACATCAACTTGTACATTTCTTTACCATTGATAAGAGTTGATGCTGTGCCATAAAATTTTTCTTCTGCTATCTACTATCATTAACAAAACTATTGAAGGATGTAATAGCTTTACTATCATCACAACTACTACTAATAATAATACTACTACTACTACCACTGCTGCAGTTACTACTGCTAATTGTATTAATAATAATAGATTCATGCTACTATTGCTACTTAAAAATTAATTATTGAATACTTCATCACTATTTTCATAAGTTATTATTTGTTCTCACCTCCCCTCATAATCTGATTCATTTTTTCTACTTTCTGTCTAGTTCTTTCCATCATTCATTCTTTTTTTGCTCCCCCCCCTCTTTCTCTTTCTCTCTCTCTCTCTATCTCTCTCTCTCTATCTCTCTGATAAAACTTGACAATAAAAAGCTGTAAGGAATAAGGAAGAATAGTTGATAATAAACCTTCATAATTATCTCCATCTCGCTATCATCCAGTAACTTAACAGTACATTTAATGGTCTTCTTGTGACAGAGGCCTTTTGACAATGATGACGTTGCTGTAGTTGATGGCGTCGCCACTATGACGTCATCATCGTCGTCCAAATTGTTGTTTTTCGTGTCTATGTTGTTGTAACACATCACCATGTTTGCCTGCTGAAAGAATAATTTACATAAATATAAATAGATAGGTACATTACATCATTATGCTGTTAAGACAGTTTTTTTATTGAATACAATGAAATTAAATTAAAATAATAATTAATAATATTTAAATGTTACTTGATAATTTATTATAAATAAGTACAAAAACATAATTATATGTATATATATATATATTGAATAACTGAGAATAAATCTTAAATTCTAAAAAACTGAACAAAATTTTCAATTTTAAAATAAAACCTCTATCAGACCTTATATTTTTATAGAATTTATTATTAATAATTATGTTGATAAAAAAATTTAATTTGTTCTAAGTAAAAATAAATTCAACCAAAAATTAAAACACACACATTCACTTCAACTACATAAATTTTTTCTTTTTGTTTATACAACAGAGATGTAGGTAGGTGAGCAGTGCTTTAAAAACTACCATCAATAATATGAATAATAATAAAAAATAATAACACAAGGTTTTTCAAAAATACCTAAATCACAAACATAACTATAACAACATAGCAAGCTAATATGTAAAATAAACATAAGTTGAATGTATTATAAAATATAAAATAAGACATACAAAACAACACAGATTTGCAAATAATTAATAAATAATTTACACACACACACACACACACACACGCACGCATTTATATATATATATTATATAATAAATATATATGTACAACATACATAACTGTCATATGTTCAATATGTTTAATTTAACTGTTCAATAAACTATGTTATGTTATAAAGTAAGTTATAAAGCATCTATGTCTTTCTTCATGATATTATATGCTCATAGCACTGAACTCTAAACTATTGAGTCTGAGTATTAGGCCATTTTTTAGTTTTTTCAGTGTACCATACTACAGAATAGAATACTTAGTAAAAGATTAGTGGTGTAATAGGACTATGTTACAGATTACTAACTCAATAGGAAATAAGTACAAAAAAGTACTTTTAATTTGAATATTTAACAAATTTACTATAATAAGGTGTATAAATTATAAATTAAAAGTATATTAGCATTTTAATTACTAAAAAAAGTACTACGAAGTGAAATTTTGAAAAAATCTGACATCCGATTTATTTATGCTGAAATTTTAGTTACAAATTTCTTTATAAACTATATAAATAGTTAATAAATGAATAAATAATTCTCATAAACTAAACAAATAATTCCAAGTTGTACTAATTATAATATAAATTATATTCCTATTAACCCAAATTTCAAATTTTCCGCCGCACGCACTTGCTAAATGGAAGCTAAAAGTGAAGTTAGAAAAAAAACTAAATGTAAACTTTGATGTAATCAGTAATAACGGGCAAGATTTGAACTCAAGCGATTCTGAACGATTCAAAATACTCACCCACACACCACACACACGCACTACGAATTTTACTTAAACTAGATTTTGATATATATATAATACAAATTTTTGTTAATATTAATATAATTATTTTAACACTCCTGGTTTTTCCTATTAATTAATTGTTGAATAAGTTTATAAGTCCTATAGTACGGTATATTAAATTTCAAGAGGTACTTGAAATGAAAACTATCAAATTGATATATATGTATCATTTCATTTATGATCCATGTAACATTATGATTTTATTTCTTCTACTTACATTTAGACTTGCCTTATGAGTGGATAAGTTTTATTACATTTATTTCAATGATTTTAACTTATATAATAATAAATATAAATATTTGAAATAAATTATAGCTGTACCTATATGGAGTGTTTCAAACCAAGATCTCCGACAGATACAGATGAAAGGAGCCATGCTAAACAAACAGCGTCAGAGAAAACGTGTATATTTCTAATTAGTTTCTCTGCTTTATTAGTGTTTTAATTTGTATTTAATAATCGAATATCGAAATTTGAAACATTTCATGTAAGTTGTATAATTCTCATGTAGAAACCAGGTATACACAATTTGTTTTGATGTTTAACTGTGGCTAGCTTAAATTACACACATATTAAAAGTAAACATTTGGTGTTGGAGGCGATAAATAATTTTCTAGAAATCATATTTAAATTTACCTGCGCCTTTTTCTCTGGTTATTTAATTTTTTTAAAACAAAGGTTAGTTTAAAAAAAAAGTATTTTTAGTTTAATAATTCTAAATTATTTTTCCGATCGCGATTTTTCCTTAGTCTGACTGATGAGTCCAACAATAAAAATCAATAACAAACATAATAACCAGAAGACTGAATAGACACACTTGAATGAATTTTGTATTTTAGTCGGAAAGCTCAAAATTTTCCTCTATTTTATATTATTTTATTTATTAAATTATTGATTATTATATCTCCCAAAAACGTCAAATAGTGAAATAAACTACTACTAAAGTTTAGTATTTAGTTAGTAGTTTAACCTCAGCTTACCAGTTATTTTTTAATAAAATACTATTCTAAGTCTTTGTTTAACTTTAAGTTAATTAAGGTTATGGTTAATCTAAAATGTAGTAATAACTGATAAGAATAATGCTGATATAATAATTTAATTACTTAAAATTAAAGTTTTATTAATTCATTATTAGATTATATTTAATTTAATAAATTGATAAATAAAATCGTTGTTTTGAAATTTTCATATATGATGTCAATCAGATAATCACCTTTAATAGCATAAAATAAATTATAGTGATGATAATAATTTGACTCTAATCTAACCTAATCTAATTACCTAATTTCACAACTAAATCATTTTTAACAGCGATGTCAGAGATCCAGGCATCTTAGAAGTCCTTCTGGAGATAGGGAAATTCTACAATGTTGATCTGTTCCAGAGAGGGTCTGCTCTTTCTTTCTCCATTATTTAATCAAAGATCTTAAATAATATTTATTGACATTTTGATATTTTTCTAGTGGTACTCTTGACCATTAGGCTCCACACACTTTCATATTTATTTTTATATGCTTTTTGTTCACTTTATTGTTTCTACCTATGCCTAATTAATATAATTTTGTTTGCTTTCACTTTAATAATATTATTAATAGTTTAGTAATTTTTCAAAATATTTAAAATTAAGTTTGCTAATCACATTACAATTATGTCACTATACTTTCATAAAATACTATTTTGAACGATATGGTATGGTGAATTGTATAAATCCACATATATTAGAATACCATAAATACTAGTTTGTATTATGTATATGTGTAAAAATATAAGTAAATTCTTGTATGTGCGTGCGTGTGTGTGCGTGTGTGTGTGTGTGTGCAAAATATATGATTAGATTTTGGGGTAACTACTTCTGTGATTATTTTAGTTCGAGGTAGAATTACATTCAATGATTTTTGTGTGGTGGACTGCTGTCTCAGTCGTTAGCCAGATTAAATTTGTTGAATCAACCAGTAAATAAATAAATGAAACGTGGATTTTTCGAGTTTGATGTTTAAAAATTGAAATCTCTATTAGTAGTAGTAGTAGTATTAATAATAATGATAATAATAATAGTTTCTGCTTAAGTGTTTCACTAATTGATAATTTTAATTAGTTCTTACAGTTATTAGTTTCAATAATTTTTATTAAAGTATTAATTAATCTTAGATGTTTAACTTTTGTAATATATATATATATATATATATATATATATATATATATATATATATATATATATATATATATATATATATATATATATATATATATATATATATATATATATATATATATATATATATATATATATATATATATATATATATATATATATATACATATATATAT